GTTGGTCAACTAGCTTAGTGTCTGTTCTCAAGCTGAGCTAACTGTAGACAGACGCCGTTAGTTTAGTATGGATTACCTACCTGTGTGATATATCAGAGTATTTAGACTCTCGAAGCATACTTTGAGTTTTCGACTAAAATTGTAGATTTAGGAAGTAAAATGTTGGTCAACTAACTTAGTGTCTGTTCACAAGCTGAGCTAACTGTAGACAGACAGCCTAAGTTTAGTATGGATTACCTACCTATGTGATATATCAGAGTATTTAGACTCTAAAGCCTCTTCTAAAATAAAACCTAATATAGAATCATCACGCCATTCTTCATGTTTCTTGATCTACAGAGAAAAAGAGAGAAATAGGGTTTAACGTTCACTCGACACAAACTAGGTCATTTCGGGACTAACATATGGTTTAATTTTATTTAACAAATTTGCTTGCGTGCAGGTGTCTTTAGCTGTGGGTGGAAACCAGAGGACCCGGGGAAAACCCACGAGGTTGGACAGGTGACCCTACTCTTTGTCACGTACAACCAGGGATTTGAAATCATGCCAGTTGACTCAATGACAGGCCTTATGATACAGCGCGCATGTGCTAACCATTCGGCCACCCACCCCCCACACCCCCAGGGTTTAACGTCCACTAGCGACAAACTAGATGATTTTAGGACCAATGCGTTAAACCATTCGACCACCCAACCCCCCTTTCTTGATCTTACACAAATACAAAAGGGTGCACAAGGCTTAAAACACATAATATGTGACCTATTCTGGCAAAACAAATCGCAAAGTGTAATAATGAAATGAAATCGGGTTTAACGTCCTACTGTTCTGCTCCTAAACTGGGCTAATGAAGACGGGCATACACCATACAGTGTGCTATGAGGGAAATTTTGCCCGGGCAGCGGCGCTTTGGCCTACTCTTATATTGAATTCCAACTGCCAAAGGATCTTTTACGTGCATGCCAATATGTACACAGGACCTCGGTTTTTCGTCCCATCCGAACAACTAGACAACTGTCCTTGTCAGGCCCTCCGCCTGCACCACTGACAAGGGAGAACCACGTGTAATAATGAGCTACAGACAAAACAAGTGAAAATATCATAGCAAGAACGACCAGCTATTTATCTATATCTGACATAATGTATCTTTAAGCTTCTATCCTAAAATCATTATAGTTTAACCCTATAGCACTAGGTACATGTAAATATTGATTACCACAGTTAACCCTTTATAGTTGGTAAATGTACTTGTATATATTGACTACCCTACCTCCTTGAAGAAAATTAGAGAAAGGTGATATACTGGTACATTCCTGGATAGACCAAAATGTGTGAATAGCTGTGCATATTTTATGACCATTTACTAGTTCGTTCAGACGATACAGCTGTTGGTTTAGGCAGTCTAAGGAATCCTGACAGAGCGGTTTAGGCTGTCTGAGGAGCCCTAATTAGGGTAATCTGGGGTGATCTACATGCTAATGGGTTAAGATACTGGTAATAATGGCTGTACTTACTCTTTCAAACAGATTGGAATAAAAGTCATACAATGTACCTCCAGCTTCCATCAAGAAAAAGCTCTGTAAAACATAACCAGACATCATCAATTGAATTTAACTCTATGGAGAGAGAGAGAGAGAGAGAGAGAGATGGGTTTAAGGTCCACTCCACACAAACTAAGTCATTTCGGGATTAACTAATGGTTCAATTATATTTCATTAATTTGCTTGCGTGTAGGGGTCTTTAGTAGTGGGAGGAAACCAGAGGACCGTGAGAAAACCCATGAGGTTGGACAGATGACCCTACTCCTTGTCACGTACAATCGGGGAATCGAAACCACGCCACTTGACTCAATGACACAGCTTATGATGCAACGTGCACGCGTTAACCATTCATCCGTCCCCAACCCCACTCCTTGGAAGATTAAGCTTATGTGTTAAAGTAATACATATACATACCCTCATTGCTTTCATATCTTGAAATAGATGATATTGGTGTTTAATGATGTTAATGAGATGTGAACAGACATGATTATATCTATGTTGTATATACGGATATAAACAATGTTGTAATAAAATCTCTAATGGTTGTAAACTATCAACTTCTAATGAATACAACAATCTGGAAAACAACAAACAAAACAAGTAAAATCTCTAATGGTTGTAAACAATATTTTTATTCAGATTTATATCTGAATAGGGATTGGGGAACAGCCATAGCCTATATGAAACCCCTCTCCATGTCAACTTCTAATGAATACAATAAGCTGAAATAGGGAGAAGAAAGAAATAGGGATTCCGGGACTAACATACGGTTCAATTCTATTTCAATAATTCACTTGCGCGTAGGGAGTCTCTTTAGCTGTGGGAGGAAATTAGAGGACTCGGAGAAAACCCACGAGATTGGACAGGCAACCCTAATCCTTGTCACATACAAGCAGGGAATCGAAACCACACCAGTTGACTCAATGACAGACCTTATTACTCCAACTTACTTTAAATGATCGTCTTCTTTTCTTTGATGTAAAACACTTTTCATTTGTTGAGCATCAAAAACTGTTTCAAAATTAATCCTCAACAATGGATCATAGACACCTTTTACTTGTAGTTGTTCTTCAACTCTCTGTTTTGTGATATTAGGTTCAGGAGTGACCTCCCTTTCCACTGATTCTGGCGTCTCAAGACCAGGCTTCGTTCCTAACATCTTCACCAAGTTCTCCACAAATATTTCATACAGACTCTTCTGTTTACATTCTGTGAAGAAAATTACACAATTAGACAAATTATACAATTAGACAAATTATACAATTAGATAAATTACAAAATTAGATAAATTAGACAAATTACACAATTTAGATAAATTACACAATTAATCAAATTACATACAAAAAGACAAATTACACATAAAATTTACACACAAATTACACAAAATAATCAAATAACAAATAATCGGTCAAATTACACAGTTAGACAAATTACACACAATTAGACAAATTATATAATTCAATAGCTTTACAATTTCAGAACAAAAATTTTCAGGTACCTTAAAGCTTACCTAAAACATCCATATCAAGTACTTTCTCCACTTGACCCATACTGAATAATAATTCCATGGATTTACCAGTAAGTGCTATCTCTTTCAGAACTGGACGTAAAAATCGTGGAATGGTTGTGGCATCTGCTATATTTATGTCACGGCTTATCTTCGAAGAACTGATGTCCATTTTGTTATCGAGCCTCAAAAGGAAGGCGTTTTCCCAAAATGTCTCATCAAAGGATTGGGCTGTTTTATTCCTAAAGATAAAAAAAAGTTACATTTAGGAGAGAGAGAAGAGAGAAATGGGGGATTGGGCTGTTTTATTCCTAAAGATAAAAAAAAGTTACATTTAGGAGAGAGAGAAGAGAGAAATGGGGGTTATTCGACTAACATGGTTCAATTTTATTTCAATAAATCATTTGTCTTTAGCAGTGGGAGGAAACCGGAGGACCCGGAGAAAACCCACGAGGTTGGACAGGCAACCCTACTCCTTGTCACGTACAACCAGGGAATTGAAACCACGCCAGTTGTCTTAATGACAGACCTTATGATACAACGTGCACGCGCTAACCATTCAGCCATCCAACCTCTAGACAGAGAGAGAAATGGGGTTTAACCATCACTTGACACAAACTAATCGACGAGGCCAGTGTCGTGGGCATCTCTCATGAGAGGGTTGAGCACATTATCGCCAATGATTTCTGAATGAAACTAACACAGTACAATATATATAGACCCTCAAGTTTACTAAATGTCATTGTGCTTGATAACGATAAGAGTATACTTATCGAAACGTCATACTTGTGTGTAATAAACCAGTGATTGTTGTCCCATATAACTGTGTTAGTTTTGTTGTTTCCAATCGCAAAATGCAACTAAAGGATTAGATTTCAGAATGACAGAAGTTTCTGCAAGATGGGTGCCAAAGCTTCTGACTGCAAATCAGAAACGTGTCAGATTCCAGATGTCCTGTGACAATCTGTGCTGTTTTGAAGCAGATCCTGAGAATTTTTTGACTAAATTTGTGACCATGGGTGAAATCTGTTTCCAAAGATGAAAACAGAACAAACAGGTCATCATTTTCCTAGTAATGAAATGAAATGGGGTTTAACGTCCTACTATTATGCTCCTAACCTGGGCTAATGAAGACGGGCATATGCCATACAGTGTGCTATGACGGAAATTTTGCCCGGGCAGCGGCGCTACGGCCTACTCTTATATCGAATTCCAACTGCCAAGGGATCTTTTACGTGCATGCCAATGTGTACACGGGACCTTGGTTTTCCGTCCCATCCTAACGACTAGACAGCTGTTCTTGTCAGGCCCTCCATCCTGCAGCGGCGCTATGGCCTACTCTGCCAAGGGATCTTTTACGTGCACACCAATGTGTACACAGGACCTCGTTTTTTTGTCCCATCCGAACGACTAGACAGCTGTCCTTGTAGGCTCTGCATCACTGACAAGTGAAACCACGCCGGAAAATCTGAATGAACTTTCTCGGCCAATGCAGTGATCAAACACCCAACCTCCAGACTAGCGAGCCAGCGTCTTACCCACTTAGCCACGTGATCCCCCTCCTAGTAATGATAACGCCACGTCAGCTGTGAATGACTTTTTTTAGGGTGGCTGAAGAAAATTTCTTCTTCATCGGCATCCAGGCCTTGCAACATCGTTGGCAAAAGTGTGTACACCTCGAAGGGGACTATGTAGAAAAATAAATGGAAACCATTGACTTTGTACAGGTCTTTCACAGATAGGCTTAGAACTTTTCAGCCATCCCTCGTAGCTCCGGTTGAGCAAACAAATGACGTAGGGACTGGCAACGGTAATAACTGATTTTACATTCTTGAGCTGATTGCATACAATTAAAAGCAAACTAAATAAGTTACCTCATTGAATAAAGTTTTTATTATTATCTCCTTAATAACTACTATACAATATCTGATTATACTCTATTGGTAAAATTATAATTACCTCTGAATAAGAAAATCTTCTCGAGGATCGATCAAATTCCCGTATGTTATCCAATCAGAAAGGATGTCAAAATATGGCCGACATGTTTGTATCCAGATGACTAGTAATAAACTCATCTACAAAATACAAAACATGTTGAAATATCTGGCCCCAAGTTCACAAAGCATGCTGAAATATCTGGCCTCAAGTTCACAAGGCATTCTCAGATATGAGGAAGATTTTGCCCAGATAACGGCGCCACAGCCTCTTATTTCAAAATTCTGACTGTCAAAAGGGTTCTTTTACGTGCACGCCAATCTGTACACAAGACCTCAGGTTTTCGCATCATCCAAATGACTAAACTGTCCTTGTAAGGACCTCCATCCTGCATTGACTAGGGGGATCCACAGCGGAAAAACATGGCCATCACTGGGAGCGAATCAGAGACCTCCAGGTTGTCCAGCCAGCATCTTTCTCACTGAGAGAGAGAGAGAGAGAGAGAGAGAGAGTTTAACATTGGACAGTCGACTCTACTCCCTATCACGTACAAGCTGGGAATCAAAACCACGCCACTTGAATCAGAGAGAGAGAGAGAAATTGGGTTTAACGTCCACTCGACACAAACTAGGTCATTTCGGGACTAACATATGGTTTTAATTTTATTTCAATAATTCGCTTGCGCGTAAGGGTCTTTAGCAGTGGGAGGAAACCGGAGGACCCGGAGAAAACCCACGAGGTTGGACAGGCAACCCTACTCCTTGTCACGTAAAACCGGGGATTCGAAACCACGCCAGTCGACTCAATGACAGACTTTATGATACAGCGCGCGCACACTAACCATTCAGCCATCCAACCCCCCGCCACTTGACTCAATGACAGACCTTATCATATAATAATAACACATGACACAATTATATGGAATACAAGTTACTTGAAGAGTTTATTTAGCGACGTTTTGATGAGGGTTCTCATGTGTTATTCTCATCCAGTTACTAAATGCCACTTAAACAACTTATCATATAACATGCATGTGTTAACCATTCGGCCACTCAACTCCCCTTACTCACTAAGCCACCACAGTTCCTGACTTGCTTATACAATTATAGACCTACCTTATCTTTGTCAGGATCTCTCAGTGTATCACAGTCTATCAAGGTTTTAAACATAACATTTAACAGATGAGAAGCTTTCAGTATACTACTATCAAGTTCAGCTGCTGCAGCTATACCAGATATATAAATAGAATATACGAGTTCAATCTTCTGGAACCATGGCTCAAGTTGATTGTAAAGTATACTCATTGTTATTGGCGTTTCTGTAAAGAGAGAAAGAGAAATGGGTTTAACGTCTACTTGACACAAACTAGATCATTTCGGGACTAGCATGGTCCCATTTTTTATTTCAATAATTTGATCGTGGTTTAACGTCTTACTGTTCTGCTCCGAATTGGGTTTGTGAAGACGGGCATACACCATACAGTGTGCTATGAGGGAAATTTTGCCCGGACAGCGGCACTACAGCCTACTCTTATATCGAATTCCAACTGACAAGGGGAACCCACGCGGGAAAATCCCGATGAACTTTCTCAGCCAAGCGAGCCAGCGTCCTACCCACTTAGCCACCGTGGCTCCCTGTAAAGAGAGAGAGAATTGGGCTTATAACGTCTACTCGATACAAACCAGATCATTTCGGGACTAACATGGTCCCATTTTTTTTATTTCAACAATTTGCTTGTATCTATGGGTCTTTAGTAGTGGGGAAAAATGGAGGACCCAAGAGGTTGCACAAGGCGACCCTACTCCTTGTTACATATAAGTGGGGAAGCGAAAGCATGCCACTTGATGCAATAATAGACCTTATGATCCAATGCGCATGCATTAAACCATTTGGGCCACCCAAACCACTCAACCAATACATCAAGAATTTCTTATTACCTTGATTTCTTACTTCTATTTCTCTACCTGATAAAAATTTCTTGAAATCTTTCAAGAACTGTGACAGGCTACTAACGAAAGCCTGGTACGTTTGTGTCACGGAAGACATGTCAATGCTGTCACAACTGTAATTGACAACATCTTGACAGAAGGTTTCTAAAGCCATCACTTGACTACCATATTTCATAAACTTTTGAAGACTATTCTCCATACAATACTGTAAAAAAATTAAATTAAGCAGGTTTTAAAAGAAAAGAAAAGAAAAGACAAGAAATGAAATGAAATGAAATGAAATGAAATGAACTGCCAATGCCAATGCCAATGCAATGCCATGCCATGCCATGCCATGCCATGCCATGCCATGCCAATGCCAATGCAATGCAATGCAATTTAACATCATACTTTTCTACACAGTTTTAAAGGAACACAGGGAGACTCGGTGGTAGAAATACATTAATTTACTTAAGTCAATGATCAAAACATGAGGCAACCTTATGTTAGTGAGACATGATACACATGAGACAGAAATACAAACTTATACTAGTGAGACATGATATACATGAGACAGAAATACAAATTCAGTCAGTGACATGTCTTACACATGAGACAGAAATACCAACATAGATCAGTGAGATATGATACACATGAGATAGAAATACTAACTTATGTAAGTGACATGTCATACACATGAGGCAGAAATACCAACTTAGATCAGTGCGATGTGATACACATGAGACAGAAATACTAACTTATTTTAGTGAGACAGAAATACTAACTTATTTTAGTGAGACAGAAATACTAACTTATGTTAGTGAGACATGATACCCATGAGATAGAAATACTAACTTAAGTTAGTGACATGTCTTAGACATGAGACAGAAATACCAACTTACATCAGTGGGATGTGATACACATGAGAAAGAAATACAAACTTAAGTAGAGAGACAAGACACACATGAGACAGAAATAAAAACTTACGTTAGCGAGATATAAATACAAACTCATGTTAGCGAGATGTGATACATTAATACTAATACCACACGTTTTAAACATTCTTCATCAAACGATGCTATTTTATTCATTTACTATGAACAACAAATGACGCAGCACACACATTTAACATCAATTTGCCATACAATGCATAGAAACATTATATCCCGTACACAGCCTTCCGCTATGTTGTCTAGCAGTGATTCTCAACAAGTGTGCCGCAGCACACAGGTGTGGCACAAGATCTTCCTAAGTGTGCTGCGAAATTTTAAATGGAACACTAAGAAAATGTGAAAAATCATGTGATCCCAATTGAGTATTCACTGGTGTCTATTGATAAGTTCATAGCTGTGTTTTTCTTTATTTAGTTTGAGTTATTCTATGTGTTTATGGCTAGTCTCTGTCTACGGTTGTTTGCTTTCCGACTTAGCATGTATTTATTTTGCAAAACTCAAATATTTTTCATATATATTTAGCCAGGTGTGCCGCTATTTTTCCATCTGTTCCAAGGTGTGCCGGTGTCAAAAACAAGTTGAGAACCACTGTTGTATAGTGTAAAGATGATTTAACTTACGTCAGTCAGATGTGATAAATAAACATCAGGATTTACACTAAATCTTCGTTCTTCAAAAATAAAAACATAGGATTTACTAACACCTGACAACATCCTGTAAGAAGAAATTGAACAGGATATAAATAGAATATCGCTCGGGTTATTCATTGCTTCAAGAGAGTGTATCCCTGCGTAAGTATTCCACGAATGATAGCGAGTGGAATGCAGCAGGGATACACTCTCTTCAACCATTGAATAACCCGAGCGGTATTCAATGGTCATTGAGTTCTGTTTTTATTCTCTCTAACTACATGCAAATCTCAAAATACACTATACTATCCAGATTGTTAAAACATTCTTAACAACTTTTCACTGATATTCAGTTACTTCTGAAGGTAGTGCTTTTTGTGCATGTAAAGCGCATAAAAATGTTTTTGTAATAATAAAAACATCATTTACAGCGATGGCAGAAATCGGGATGTGGGGACTAAAACATGGTTCAATTTTATTTCATTACTTCACTTGCACATAGGGATCTTCAGCAGTTGGAGGAGACAGGAGAACTCAGAGAAAACCCACAAGGTTGGACAGGCGAATTGAAAGTGAAACCGTGCCACTTGATTCAATAACACACCTCCTGATGCAATGCGCACATGTTAACCATTCAGCCACCCCAACCCCCATCTCTGGAAATCTGGAACCAGTCACCGATATTGTTGGGCATAAATTCAGGCTTTATTAGGAACAATTCTTGAATTGCCTATCATTTTGTCTGGAACAGATTTGGGGCTTTTCTTTCTGGGTTTTTATTGATGTCTATGAGAAGTCATTTAGCCACCCGACCCCCCTACAATTTAAAAGATCTGAATGTGAACATGATAGTTTTGAAGTAAAACAACTAACCATAAAATTTCTCGGATTAGTTGAATCTCTGTAATAAAACTTTGTCGGGATACATGGAATGGATTACCCTCAATTAGACATCTGTCCCTTGAAAAAAAAAAAAATGTCTTTATCAAAGCTAAAGAGTATAAATTAAATGCAACAAGTATTTTGAAAGTATTATCAAAACAATTCATCCCTACAAGTTCCCAAAAAATATTTAAAAAAATGATGTGCTATTAACATAATGAAATGAAATGGTGATTTAACAAGTCCTCCTTTCTGCATCAACCACTTAATGAAGATGAGAATATGCTATGCGGCGTGCACTATTAACAAAATGAAATGGTGTTAAGTGAATATGAGAACCCATTGGAAACAACAAGACACTTTCTCCTTGCCAGGCTTTCACTTCTACACCATCGACAAGAGCAACCACAGATGGAACATGACAAGGAACTTTCTCGGCCCAACACTGAATCAAACCATCTATGGATCAAATTTCTTGAATGATAACGGAAATGAAATGAAAAGAAATGGGGTTTAACGTCCTACTGTTCTGCCCCGACTGTGCTAATGAAGACGGGCATAGGGAAATTTTGCCTACGGCCTACTCTTATATCGAATTCCAACTGTCAAGGGATCTTTTACATGCACGCCAATGTGTACACGGGACCTCGGTTTTTCGTCCCATCCAAACGACTAGACAGCTGTCCTTGTCAGGCCCTCCATCCTGCATCACTGACAAGGAGAGACCACGCCAGAAAATCTGAATGAACTTTCCCGGCCAATGCAGGGATCGAACACCCAACCTCCAGGCTAGCGAGCCAGCAGTCTTAGCCACCGTGACCCCCTGTATGATAATGGAAAGTCAATAAAACTGCTTGAAAAATACATGGATTCATGAGTGAAAAAATACGATATTTAAAATCTCACCAATTTCTATGTAAATTTGAACACGGGAATCTTCCAGTAGCATTATCTTCTTTACTGTCATTGTTCCAATACTGAATTACCAGGTTTCTTAGCAACCAGTTCTTCTGTGTTTCAACCGTACCAGTGAAATCATTTGATTCTGTTGCAATGGTTTCTAAGTGGGCGACACCTTGGTTGAAGTCATTGGTGTCTTCTTCATCTTCAGAATCATACTATCAAAAAGAAATTACCTAATTGTGGTTTTAAAACTGAATACAAGAGAGACAAATGGGGTTCAACATTCATTTGACACAAACTAGCTCATTTTGAGACTAACATAATCAATTTTATTTCAATTTTAGCAGTGGGAGGAAACGGAGGATCCAGAGAAAACCCACGAGGTTGGACAGGCAACCCAACTACTTGTTACATACAAGCGGTGAATCGAAACCACACCGCTTGGCTCAATTACAGACCTTGTGATCTAATGTACATGCGTTTAACCATTCAGTCAGTCAACACCCCCAATGCTGAATAAAATGAATGTTTCAAAAACCAGAAATTTGTAAAAGGGTGAGATGGAGAGTCGAATAAAAGAGGAGGTTGAGATTGAGATTCGATCAGGAGTAAGGGGTTGAGATTGAGAGTCGACCAAGCGGTTGAGATTGAGAGTTGACCAAGAGGTTGAGATTGAGAGTTGACCAAGAGGTTGAGATTGAGAGTTGACCAAGAGGTTGAGATTGAGAGTTGACCAACAGGTTGATATTGAGAGTCAACCAAGAGGTTGAGATTGAGAGTCGAACAAGAGTAAGAGGTTTAGATTGAGAGTCGACCATACTACTATTCGACACTGACTTACAATAATGTGAATGAATGGAAAGGGTTGTAACATACTACTATTCGACACTGACTTACAATGTCGATGTGAATTATATAAACTTACCGTGGAATCTAAATAATGACTTCTATAATAATCCTCATCAGCCAATAAATATCCCGCCCAATCAAACTCTGGCTCCACTTCTAAAAATAAAATACCGTCAAACAAAAATTTATATAAATAAGAGAGCGAGGGAAATGGGGTTTAACGTCCACTCAACACAAACTAGGTCATTTCGGGACGAACATAGTTTCCATTTTATTTCCATAATTCGCATGCGCGTAGGGGTCTTTAGCAGTGGGAGGAAACCGGAGGACCCAGAGAAAACCCACGAGGTTGGACAGACGACACTACTCCTTGTCACGTACGACCGGGGAATCGAAACCATGCCAGTTGACTCAATGACAGACTTTATGATGCACTGCATATGCGCTAACCATTCGGCCATCCAACCCCCCTTATATAAATGAAATAAGGTTTAACGTCTTACTTTTCTGCACTAACTGTCAGTCACTGTTGATAACGCATGGATACTTTGTAAAATACATTCATTTTTATGGTATGGTATAGTGAATATATGTGTCTACACCCCTTTCTCACAATGGTATACATAAAAATTTCTTTACTCGACTATGATGAATTAATATCTTAGTATAATAATTAATTATTTATTTATTTATTAAATATCAAGCCTATGACACAAACAATGTCAAGTATAAATGTATAATCCACCAGATTTCTTTGAATTTGTTTGGTGATACTGGGTCATATCGGAACTACAAAGTTTCAATTTCATTTCACATAGGGGTCTTTAGCAATGAGAGGATACTGCTGACCTGGAGAAAACCCACAAGGTTAGTCTTAGACAGGCATCCCTAATCCTTGTCAGGTAGACGTATGGGATTGAAAAACATGCCACTTGACTCAATGACAGACCTTATGATCTAAAAACATTAGTACAAAAGACCACTCAATCCCCCAAATACGTTTGTACATGTAGTTAATAAGCCAAAATCGCATTGGTTGCCTATTTGTGGCCAAATACTTTAAAAAATACTGTTCACCTGGTTGGACAACCTGCTTTTCTCACCTGGTTGGACAACCTGCTTTTCTCTAAACACATTTTCAGTTGGACAATTAGATAATTCTAATAGTAAGGACAACACAGCATAATGACCATCTGTCTGTAAATAATAATACATTATGTTATTTAAATAAATAAAATGAAATAGGGTTTAACGTCCTACTGTTCTGCTGCGAACTGGGCTAATGAAGACGGGCATACGCCATACAGTGTGCTATGAGGGAAATTTTGTCAGGACAGCGGCACTACAGCCTACTCTTATATCGAATTCCAACTGTCAAGGGATCTTTTACGTGCACACCAATGTGTACACAGGACCTCGGTTTTCTGTCTCATCTGACCGACTAGACAGCTGCCCTTGTCAGGCCCTCCGTCCTGCATCACTGACAAGGGGGAACCACGCCAAAAAATCTGGATGAACTTTCTCAGCCAATGCAGGGATCGAACACCCGACCTCCAGACTAGCGAGCCAGTGTCTTACTCACTTAGCCACCGTCACCCCCGTTTCTTAAATAATAAGTGAAGGGGGACAGCACCACACATAAACAATTACACAAGACAAACCCACGGACAGGACACAATATACACAGACACCTCAAACAACAAAATTTTATATCATATAGTGGGAGAACGCTAGATCGGAGACGGTCCTGCACATCTGACATCGTATGTGGATTGTGTGTTAGGGTTAGGGTAAGACTTGGTCCCAGGTTAGGGTTAGGGTTAGTGCTAGCCCTGTTTACATCTCGAGACATTGACGAAATCTGCAAGTCCTAACTCTTACCCTAACCCTAACCCACAATCCACATATGACGTCATTTGTGCTAAGTTATGCAGGACAGTCGCCGATCTAGAGTTCTCCCATATAGTGACACAGGCTTCTCTTAAAATGAAAACAAACAATACGGGAGACCATAAATAAAGGGGGGATAATTCCCCAAACATTGGACAGACAGTGTGGTGACCCGGGCTTACACTTCAAAATTCTCACTGTCGGTCATTTTCGATAACACAGAGACATTTTGCAGATTAAATTATAATCACTGTTTTTTTGATACGGCATCATGAATTTGTGCATGGGAAATAAAGCACCTGTCACAGATAATGTCAGGCACAGATTCAGGCTTTGTCAGGCACTAAACCTCTGGTGCCTGTCATTTTGTCCGGCACTGATTTGTCTTTTTTTATTGATATTATTAATACATGTTCGGCACTAAGTTGAAAATGTCAGGTACTATTTCATTAGTGCCTGACATTTTGTCAGGTACATCAAAACCGTTATTTCCAGGCCTGGCAGCATCTAGGTTAAGTATTAGATCTATTCCATATCACATACATGTACTGTCAAATTCAGGATTTGGCTAAGTGATAGAAATCAAGGCCCTGATGCATCCCTTGAAACCTTGAATTGATAGTAGACCTTATTATCTCAAGTGAAAACTTTGATGACTCAATTCCCCAACAAGCAAACATGCATTACTGGAAAGTCAAAACACACGATTTTTAAAGTTGCCAAAATTTGTTTTATAAAAGCTTTGCGATTCAACATTTAGTCTGGAAGCTCAGTGCGGTGGGGTGTCCATCAAATGGGCACAAAACCAGCAACTTTTCTATAGTCAAATTTTGTGTAGAATACGATGCTGAGTGGTAATCAGTCAGCTGTTGGGGCATTTTCGAGATATTCATGGTCAAAGGTCAAAGGAGATTTGCACTGAAAGTGAATGCGAAGCCATTCTTGTATCATGAAAAGATGCAGAAAATGATCAAAAGTAATCAACCTTTTAATAAAAATGTAAACTTGATAAATTCACCTTTGTTCTTTGTGATGCCAGAGGTCAGGTTAAATTTTACGTTTTTGCACTAGGAAGATTTAAAGCAATAAATTTTTGGTCTCATTTTATATGTACCTTTGTTTGTGTAGTTTGTTTTGACAAGGGAGACAATTCAAATTTCTCTGTAAGTGTCTTCAAGGCTTCAGCTTTATCATTTTGGCAATGAACTGAAAACTTGGTGCATATCCTGAAATTTAAATGGCATTTAAAATTTAATTAGAGATTTTTTTTTATGCAGGAACTAGGATTCTTTTGAGAGTGTTAATCAATGGAGGTTCAGTTTTGGCACCTCCCCCTAAATTAATCAAATTTTAATTCTAATTACCTAGCTGGAAAAAGATTATCTTGCAATAATACAGGCTAAATTTTCATCTACCATTAATATACAGAAAAAGAAACAGACAATGCTTGTCATCACAGAAAATTTAGTTTCATTGTTTCATCTTTGGAGGTGGGGGGGGGAGAGAGAGAGATGACACAAACCAAGTCATTTTGGGACTAACATTTATTTCAATAATTTGCTTGCGCATAGGGAGTCTTTAGCAGGCCTCGAAAATTGTGTATATTGTGATTTTTCAAAGGAATCCTTAATTTGCTTATTATATCGAGAGTATTATCGGTAGTCTGATTGTCAATGTGTCATGGTAGTCTGTGTTCCGGATACAGAGAAAACCCACGGGGGTTGAACAGGCAGGGAATCGAAACTACACCACTTAATTCAATGACAGACCTTATAATCCATTTGGCCACCCAACCCCCACTTTGTGAGGAAGAATTCCTCTGTTGCTTGCCATTTTGTCAGGAACAGATTTGGGATTTTTTCTGTGTTTTTATTGATGTCTATGAGAAGTGCGGCATTCATGTTTGATGGGACTTTTTGTGTCTCAATATTTCATTGTTGTTGAAGATTTTGTCTTACTCATTGGCTTTAATCTTAAACCCCTAACCCTGAATTTATAGGTTTTAATCTTAAATACCTGACCCTAACCCTAAAATGTAAAAGTGATGGAATGTAAAAGTGATGGAAATAGAAAAGGGAGTCGGATCAAACATGATCGGCAGAAGTGCTAAATTACCCATTCAGTGTCTTGATTATCTTGTGGCTATCAACACTTAGAAATCGGTGATACTTTACATGAGATTGTACAAACTGTAGACACAGGTCAAAGTTCACATCATCACTCTAAAAACAAAAATAAAGAATAAAAAAATAAAAACTAATTTTAAACCAATGAATAATCACAATGCTGGAGAGAGTGAGAGAGAAAAATGGGGTTTAACGTCCACTCGACACAAACTAGGTCATTTCGGGAGTCGGGACTAACACATGATTCAATTTTATTTCAATAATTCGCTTGCATGCAGGGATTTTTAGCAGTGGGAAGTAACTAGAGGAGCCAGAGGAATCTTACGAGGTTGGAGAAGCGACCCTACTCCTTGTCACGTAAAAGCAGGGATTTGAAACCACACCACTTCACTCAATGACAGACCCTCTGATCAAAAGTGCACCTGCTAACCATTCGCCCCCACCCCACCCCCACAATGTGGGAAGTAAATCTTTAATAAAACTGTCAATGAGTTAATGTGACTGGCTAGAAAGCATTGTGTCCTAGAATTGTTTCTATTACAGTCACTTTCTGGATGTTACATTATGATGCATTCGGGGGGATCACGTGGCTAAGTGGGTAAGACGCTAGCTCGCTAGCCTGGAGGTCGGGTGTTCGATCCCTGTATTGGCCGAGAAAGTTCATCCAGATTTTCAAGCGTGATTTCCCCTTGTCAGTGATGAAGGACGGAGGGCCTGACAAGGAAAGCTGTCTAGTCGTTCGGATGGGACGAAAAACCGAGGTCCCGTGTACACATTGGCGTGCACGTAAAAGATCCCTTGGCAGTTGGAATTCGATATAAGAGTAGGCCGTAGTGCCGCTGTCCGGGCAAAATTTCCCTCATAGCACACTGTATGGCGTATGCCCGTCTTCATTAGCCCAGGTTAGGAGCAGAACAGTAGGACGTTAAACTCCATTTCATTTCATTTCATTTCATGATGCATTCGGTAGCCATAGGTCAACAATACTGCCATTCACTTCAATGTTGCATAATGCAGTGGTCACTGTTAAGTTGACATCATTGACTTACGAATAAAAAACTTTTATAAGTTTATGACACAAAGAGATCTTAGTCGTTATTTCATATATACATAATGATTATTATTGTTAGTCAGTTAAAATCATTCTTAATCAATAAACTATATTATGGAAGAACAATTACTAATTTATTGAAAAGGTTCAGAGAATACTCTTAGAAACGTCACCTAAATAAATCAGTAATTGTTCTTCCATAAGTATGTGTTATAGTATATTGCTCTATTCAGTTACTAAATGCCTCTACAAGATCATTCTTAATCAGTCAGTAGTTATTAAATAGGTGTTCTGTCACCAAGGTGTTAATTGAAACCTTGACTGTTGAATGATATCACTATTTAGTTGGGTTTGTGGCATATTTTACACCTAATTATAACTTGCTAATTAATGACTACTGTATAACCACTTTCTATAGGCTACATATTTTTCAACACTTTACTTTTAAGTGATGTTTTACTAGTTTCTGACATACACTACATACATGTCGGAAAAAAGAATAACTATAAATAGGCCTATTTGGAAATTTAGAAAGATATATAAATCAGTAATTGTTATTCAATATAATTATGTACGAGGGAAAGATCAATAGGACTAGTAATAGTATAACTATAAGTATGTTGTCATAAATTTCTTCATCAACTGACAGACAACTGTCAGAAGTTGGAAAAATATTTCAAGAAAGGAAACTGGCATCTTTACAGTTACACTCCAATTACAATAGAAGACATATAATATCATATATAGAGACCTCGAATCCTGTTATATGAGTAATTAATGTTCTGATATCAGCTTCTCCTGGTATAGTCTTTTTGCGCGACATTTCTTATTGAAGACTTTGCAAGGAATTGAAAAGTACGGTACATTTCCAGTACAGCGGTCCGATTTCATAAACACCGGCAAAGTTATCAGAAGGGGGCGCTACGATCGACACTAAAACATACCCAATGCACTAAATCGGGGTACCCATCAATTTCTATCTATTTAGATATGCCACAGATGTTTCAGTCCAATAGAGAGTTCTCGCTGAGTATATAAGTCACTGGGTCTGTTAATTTCAAAAGAGTTATAGTTTTATTTACGTCATTATGTAAACATTGCAAATTGATGACTGAAACATCTGTAGCGCCGTCTTTAGGGTTTCCAAAATTTAGGAATAATATATTCTTTTTTGCAAACAGAACAGAACTTAAATAATTATTTTCTTTTTTATTTTATAATCTGCATGTATTACCCCTAAACAACGTCATTTGGTAGGTACAAGAAATGTATTTATATGCAAAACCGGTATTAATATGATAACTCCGAAACATTGTATTTCGTTTGAGTTGCTATGTTTTTGAGACTTGCGGGGTATTGTGGGAGGAGATGTGGTTTGTTTTGTTTTGGTTTGACTTGGCATGGACAGAAAGTCAAAATGTATCGGTAAAATTGCTTTTATTTTTAGGATTATTGCATGTACAATTGGTACTTTTACGTCTTAAATCATTATGTCATCCGTGACAAACGTTTAAACCTATGTATGTTTTTACTACCTTGGTTTTGATCTTGATTTTATTTTGGTGATAATCCACTTTTCAACAACTGCTAGCCTACTGCCACCGGTTAGTCTGGTTCAGTCATGAAAAGGTGGAACACGTACCCAAAACACATAACCCTAAATAAAAAACGCCCAACTAGCAGTATTTAAATAAACGTTTGGGAAATGATAGAATTTCGTGTTTTGAAAACAAATTACCACCAAAATTTGTGAATATGAAACGATCTCTGACAATTTGACAATGTCATCAATCTCAATCAATGATGCGAAATTTATTTTAGGTGACCAGGGGGAAAAAATGATAATCTTTCAATCCCATTTTTCTCTCTCTCTCTCTCTCTCTCTCAAGTTGAATGCCAGTCCAGTTGTCCACATGAAAAATCTGGTTAAGTCGTCCACACCCATTGGTGGAGTCATTCACACCCGTTGGTGGAGTCGTCCACACCCGTTGGTGGAGTCATCGACACGACATAGTTTACTTTCGGGACACATAAGGTATTCTTAAAGATGGGTTCCTGCGTACAAACTGGGTGATTTAATGGTATATATGGACTATTTAAAAACATATTCAAACTAATTAATTTGTCATAACTTTGCTTCAAATCCTTCTAAAACATTGTAATTGTGAAGGAATGTCCTGCTATAAAAATTTGATCAAACCAGGTCATGTTTACGTCATGTAAACCTCTCTTGGAAGTCAGAGGAGAATTCATTGCATACATAAGACGATGTTGTCTTTAATCGCTTACAATTTATTACAAATATCGAATCCTAATTAAATTCTCGGATTATCCACTACCCGCATCTTTTTCCATAATTTTTATCTCAGAAAGTGTTGTACGTCTAACTCTTCATAAAGTTTATCAACTTTTACATCAAGCGCTCAATATTCGCGCGTGACCTTTGACGTCACGCGTGCAGAAATTCCTAATCGTCGGGCTGTTGATTAGGGGAGCCCTTACATTTTTGTCCTGTATGCGCTCCATGAGTGTCTTTTTCGGGGAATCCAGTATTTTTCTTGTAAGATTGGATATCTCTACATTCCATATATACCAAAATTACCATAATTGGAAATAACCACCAGATAAATACTTTTTTGGGAACCCATCTTTAATTACTATATTTTTTTTTGTTTTGAGTTCTGCGTGATCATCCCCTCTCCCTGGTTTTCAGAAAATCGCCACGCTAGAGCAGATGAATAAACAACAAAGTAAATCATTTTATTCAATAAATGTAACAATTTCATAAATAAATGTAACAATTTCATAAATAAATGTAACAAATTCAATAAATAATCAATAATAATCTAAAATTAATACAACAATTTCATTAATATAACAAATTAATATAACAAATGCAATAACAATTTTATTAAAATAAACCCCATGCACAAATATATTCCTACACCACTACCAAATGACCCACGTCCTTTAAAAGCCCCAATACACTTTTTTCCCCCTGTTCATATAATTCCCATATTTAAAAAATTTCCTCTGCTGTCTTTGCAAATTTCTTCCTCTGACGTCGCTTTAATCAAACCATCGGTGATTCGATCTGAAATCAAATAACATCGGTGATTTGATCTAAAATCAAATAACAAAACAGTCAACGAGTACTAGCTATTTCTTCCATACGATTAAATTGTGTACGAGTCTTATTCTTAGTTGTGAACGACATCACCAATAGCTGTGGACGACATCACCAATGCCTTGTGGACGACTCCACCAACGGGTGTGGACGACTTCACTTGTTGACGACTTTGCTTGTGGACGACTTGACTGGTACCCCTCTCAAGTTCATGATATAAAAGAGAGAGAGAGAAATGGGGTTTAACGTCCACTCGACACAAACTAGGTTATTTCGGGACTAACATATGGTTTAATTTTATTTCAATATTTCGCTTGCGCGTAGGGGTCTTTAGCAGTGGTAGCAAACCGGAGGACCCGGGGAAAACCCACGAGGTTGGACAGGCGGACCCTACTCCTTGCCACGTACAACCGGGGATTCGAAACCACGCCAGTTGACTCAATGACAGGCCTTATGATACCGCACGCACGTGCTAACCAATCGGCCATCCAACCCCCCAGGATATAAACGAATACTATTGATTTTCAATGATTTTCTGTAACAGTTAAACGATACCGTACATGTTTTGTGTATGTTAGCTCAAGGAAGAACTACTCACTAGTATTAGAGGGGAGAGAGGTTTAGCATAGTCTAAGTCTGCTCCTCAAACCCATTCAGACAACCTGAATAAAAATATTGTTTATAAAAAAAAAACTAGTAGGGGGTCTATCTGGATTTAACAGTTTGTATATATTTTTCATTTCAGGCCATTATCATCAGATGTAAAAAGCAGTAAGTGTTACTGTTGCTGTAAACCATCAAAATCAGATCTAAACGAACTGGACATGGCTCTAAATGAGCTTGGCATGCTGAGTTGTGTAACACCTAGTCGCAGCGAATATCTTCAGGAGATGAAACACAGAAATAATCAATCTACGTCTTACTCCTTAATGGAAAATACTAATCTTTCTAGTGGGTCAAGAGGGTATAAAATTATTCAGATCGACACTAAATTTGTGACAGGTGTGTCCTCTGATAATCCCTCCTATTTACCTCGTAGAAAACATTCTTCCCCAAATCTAAATGGCAAAAATTTAAGTGTAAGTGGAGCTGGGTGCTCCGAGGCGATCAGTTCAAACTGGAGGTTTAATTACCGTAATCAAGCTGGAAGTTTTGAAGAAGAGGCACGTCAAAGTCGATTATCAAGAATCAAGTTGGCCCGCCAAAGGCGATTCAGAAAGCCTTATAATGTTCCAGGAAGATTGTACCATTCCATGCAAGAATCTGACATTCCGAAGGATGAAGTTTCACCCAGACATATTTCAAAGTCAAACTCAAATTCTCCGAATAAACTGTTGTCTGGGCCTTTAGTGAGGTCAAAGTCGTTGGACAATCTAGATCTTGCTAGGTTAAAACTGACTGAATTCTGTCACGAAAGTGTGGATGATCGGCAAGATATAGATCAAGTATCGATAGATTTAACAAATTTACAAGTTAGCTAATGGATAGTATAATTAGGATTAATCAATTATTTTATTGTCTTTCTTAACTTTTAAAGGAATATTGAACAATACTTTTAAAGGAATGTAGTATATATTGAACAATACTTTTAAAGGAATGTAGTACATATTGAACAATTCTTTTAAAGGAATGTAGTACATTTTGAACAATACTTTTAAAGGATGTAGTAATATAGTACATATTGAACAATACTTTTAAAGGAATGTGGTACATTTTGAACAATTCTTTTAAAGGAATGTAGTACATATGGAATATTCTTTTAACAAGTAGATTTAGATACAGTACTTGGGTATCATTCTCAAAATCTTAAACTAAAATATTTCAAGAGTGTTGAATTTTCATTGACTAAAAACTTGAATTGTTTCTAAGATTTTGATTCTCAGCCAATGAAAATGTTGGATTCTTAAAATATTTTATTGAATAAAGCAATCGGTGAGTAAAAAGTGCCGGAATGGTGAATTAAATTAAAGGCTCAATACCACTCTTGTTGTAACTGAATAATATATCCCAATCTTTATTCTGGTCAACAAATTGTACTATTTTACAATATTCCAATTAATTGATGATACAAATTTCATCTTAACACACCTTATTTAAAAATTTTGAAAAATTCAACATAATGGTTTGAAACGTCTAACGTAAACCTTTTCAAATGAAACTTCGATTTAAAAATATTTTCGAACCCTCCGGACAAGTAAAATAGGATGTAATGGATAATTTACACAACAGGTAGGACACTTAAACATCTAGTACTTAGATAGAGATATTATTTATTTTCTGGAGCTTTCAAGCCAGCAAGAATGTTATTGTCCCTTTAAGTTAGCCATGGACAAGAATATGTATGACAAGAGAGCAGAACTAAAAGGCCTACATCAAATATCCCCATGTCCTACTCCATGATATACAATGTTCTGTTTGTTCATAGTCTGAGAGGCCGCTTAAAAAAGGACAGATCAGAATGATGTTTACTAACATCAGAAAATACTTGAGAAGCCAGTCAGATAAGATCAGCGCATTGTTTACTAAATGATATCATTATAAAATTATTAAAAAGTCAGTGTGATGTTTACTAAATGATATCATTAGAAAATACTTGAGAAGCCAGTCAGATTAGATCAGTGTGATGTTTACTAAATGATATTATTAGAAAATACTTGAGAAGCCAGTCAGATTAGATCAGTGTGTTGTTTACTAAATGATATCATTAGAAAATACTTGAGAAGCCAGTCAGATTAGATCAGTGTGATGTTTACTAAATGATATCATTAGAAAATACTTGAGAAGCCAGTCAGATAAGATCAGTTCTGATGTTTAGTAATGGATATTTAAAAAAAAAAACCTGAGAAGCCAGTTGAAATTGATTATATCTCATTAAACAACTGACATTAATGGATATGAATATTGTGGGTATTTTCCATGATGTCATCAAAACATTAAGGACATTAAATTATATCATCATTTTACAGTACCCACGTATACTACTAAATACTAGTAAAAATCAAGCCAGTATATTAAGATGACAAGGAGCATATTAATAAGCACTAACATTTTGAAATGTTAGCATCAAAATATACTGTGTCCAGTATATTAAGATGACAAGGAGCATATTAATAAGCACTAACATTTTGAAATGTTAGCATCAAAATATACTGTGTCCAGTATATTAAGATGACAAGGAGCATATTAATAAGCACTAACATTTTGAGATGTTAGCATCAAAATATACTGTGTCCGCAGTCTGGTCAGCGTTTAATATATATATAGACAGTACAGGTGTATGATCGGGACAGTAGTTGTTATCTTCCGAGTCAGCTTGTGTCCGCAGTCTGGTCAACGTTTAATATATATATAGACAGTACAGGTGTATGATCGGGACAGTAGTTGTTATCTTCCGAGTCAGCTTGTGTCCCCAGTCTGGTCAACGTTTAATATATATAGACAGTACATAGGTGTATGATCGCGACAGTAGTTGTTATCTTCCGAGTCAGCTTGTGTCCCCAGTCTGGTCAACGTTTAATATATATAGACAGTACATAGGTGTATGATCGCGACAGTAGTTGTTGTCTTCCAAGTCAGCTTGTGTTTTGTGTTTCCTGGCAACCCATCATTCATTAAAGCCACTGACAGAGTTTTCAAGCCCTTACAATCTACATTATGGTGAAAGTTGAATCTCTAGAGGGACTATCAGTCCAAAAATGGTACACGGCTCCAATGTATACACAGGACCTCATGTTTTCGTCCCATCCGAACGACTACATGTATATATATACGCATTGTCCCTTACACCACTGACATAAGTAACAAGGGGAATATCGGTCAAAAAGTGGTACATGGCTCCAATGTATACACAGGACGTCAGGTTTTCATCCCATCCGAACTACTATATTATATACGTTGTCCCTTATACACCACTGACATAAGTGATAAGGGGAACCACGCCGGAAAATCCTGACCCCATCACGGCTCCCAGTATATTTATAAATGTACGCGAAGTAAATTTAAATAAAAGAAAAGTGACTAGAATCTATTTTTCGTTGATATATTTCAAACAGAAATGAAATAACTACAAGAAATAGTTACCTTCCATTCAGTGTTTACTAAATTGGATGTTGTCTGAAAAATGAAAATAACGATCCGCTGCTTGAAATTTTTATTTGTAGTCTTCATTTAAACAATATAATGCCTATTTAAATGTAAGGAAATGGGGGTTTAACAGCCGTTTTTTCTGAACTAACCAAACTAATGATGACCCTCATATGGCGTGCAAAGGGTTACGAGGGAAATTTTGCCTGTACAATGATGGCTTTTCCACGTAAACAACTAAACGCTATTCTTGTCCAGGCCCTCCTTTCTGCACCATTGACAAGTGGGAACCAAACAGGAACTTTCTTGGTCATCGCAGGGATCGAAACCCAGAACCTCCTGTTTAATGAGCCAGACCTATACGCTCCCTCCAAGGGGGGTTTGGTGGCCGATTGGTTAACGCATAAGCGTGAAATCACAAGGTCTGTCACTGAGTCAAGTGGAGTGGTTTCGATTCCCCGGTTGTACGTGACAAGGAGTACGGTTGTCTGTCCAACCTTGTGGGTTTTCTCCAGTTCCTCCGGTTTCCTCCCACTACTAAAGACTTTGATCTGCAAGCGAATTATTGAAATAAAATTGAACCAGTTTGTGTCGAGTGGACGTTAAACTCTCTTTCAGATGGTTAGAAACCCATTTACGTATTGCAAGTACATGTAAATCAGTGTTTGTTATAGATCAGCCAGTATGTGTCATTGGATGTGGGCCCAAATAATTCAGATATTTCTTTCCTCAAATTTCGTTATATTCTTCACATCTACAAGTACACCTAAAATGAATGATATTTTCTTCGTTTTTACCTCTAAATTATAAGCATTCAATGATTTTATTTTATTACTTATCATATTTTAATGTCATGTATAGATACATGTATATATTTGTTATGGCTATTATTTATTTTACAACTTTGAATGATTGTATCATAATTGAAAATTTTATGTCCAAATGAATTAAATTTAAATTTTAAAATTGCTAATTAACCTTGTCTTTCTGTTTGTTCATTTTTTGTCGGGTGATTGGATAGCCGAATGGTTAGCGTGTGCGTTGTATCATAAGATCTGTCAGGGCTCACACTGGGTTTCGTTTTTTTTCTGCCAAAATGGATGATAATTTTTATATAAAAAATATGTTCATATTTTTTTTCCGCCAACCTTATCGCCAATATCAAATTTTAATCGTGACTTTCATATTTTCATCGCAAATTGGAACTTTGGCGACCGACAGTGTGAGCCCAGTCTGGTCTGTCATTGAGTCATCTGACGTGGTTTCAATTCCCCTGGTGACAAGGACTAGCGTCGCCTATGCAACTTCATGGGTTTTCTCCGGGTACTCCGGTTTCCTCCCACTGCTAAAGATCCATACTCCCAAAATGACCTGGTTTGTGTCGAGTGTAGGTTAAACCCAATCTCTCTCTCTCATTTTTTGTCCAGCCAGCTAAGGGCCTGATATGCCGTTTTTGGTGAAAATTAGCTAACATTTGTCAAAATTAATTAACATTAATTAATACAGTGTTATCCACATGGGATGGTGTTAAAGTCCAGATGCAACATTTTAGCTCTATAGGAATCACTTGCAAACTGCTATATTGAATCTCTAATAGGAATATCAGTCAAAAAATGGTTCAATTTGCTATTTAAGCCCACTGCCATTTTGTTGTCCACGAAAATGTTCTGGTAGGCCTGTTTTAAAACCGATTGTCTCCAAGCCAGAACATTATCTAGCGTTGGTATTTTGATCTTGTTTTTCTGTCTTCATTAGCCTAGTCCGAGCAGAACAGTAGGACGTTAAACCCCATTTCATTTCACCTTAGTTTCTTAATTTAATATTAGATAATCAATTTGAGTACATATTAGCGTGGATTAAGGCGTGAGAAATATATTTTAACGAAAAATGCAAATGGTGCATCGTTACTTTAAAGCGGCATTATGGAAGATTAGATAAAGAGCTAGCAGTTCTTGCTATAATAGTTTTAAAATAAATAATGCAAAGGGAATATGCTGAAAATTTCAGTAAAATTACTTATCACTGAGCCGAGAAAACCTTATTTTAATCCCACTGTAGCCAATCAGTGTTGATGTTTCTAATGGGATACCCACAGGAATGTCTACCGCACGCCAATAACTTGCTGTAACAGACCATTTCATTGACTAATCAATCACATCAACCAGAACGCAGCTTATATACTCTTCAAAAAAAGTAGGCGATATTCAGAAACAATACAAAACTGCGGAAATGCGCTTGTTTGTATTAGAGGTATTCAGTGTATGTTAATAACAGGCCAATTGCCTACACATGAACATAAACATTTCATATGGGCGGCTTATCTGACGGCCCCATTTCACTCGCAAAGAAATACACTGTCAAAAGTGAAAATGGACGCTTTTGATTTTTGTCATAATAATGAGTAATTGCTCCACCAATCCTCAGACATTCAGCAATTCGTCGTGGCATGCTCCTAATCAACCGTCCAATCAAAATTTGGGAAAATCTGACCCACTCCTCTTGCAGTGCCACAGCCAATTCTTGCAGTGTTGTCGGGCGACGTTGACATCGACAAACACGTCTCCTGGTCAAATTCAACGCAACACACTAAAGCAAAGATACGCTAAACAGTAAATCTTATGCAAGAACCAATAGGAAAGCAAACATGGATAGGATTTTACCAGCAATCGGCAGTTTTCATCAACCCTTCCTTTAAGTGTCAAATTTGACAATGAACCCCTCCAACGTGTATGGCGCAATTGCGTGTCACACATGCAGCTCAGTAGTTCTGTTGGGGCGATAAGTTCTTCATCTGTGAACATACTCTCAAAGCATGTCAAGTGTCCATGACTATTTATCATATCACAACATGCATAGGTATTTGCATTTAAATATCCCTTACTTTTTTTTGAAGAGTATATAAAAACTCTCCCAGAACAGATAGGGTCAGTGCACGTTCAAGGAACAGATTGGGCCAGTGCAAGTTCTAGGAACAGATAGGGTCAGTGCACATTCAAGGAACAGCTAGGGCTAGTTCTAGGAACAGATAGCGTCAGTGCTAGTTCAAGGAACAGATAGGGTCAGTGCAAGTTCTAGGAACAGATAGGGTCAATGCAATTTCTAGGAATAGATATCGATAGGACCAGCACAAGTTCTTGGGTCAGTGAAAAAGCATTAATTAATACAGGACTAAATAGCACAATCATTTTTATTTTTCCAACAATCAAATTTAAATAAACAACAAAATAATAAAACATGTAAGTTAGTTAAAACTGCTGAGCAAATACGGTCTGAAAAGCATTATTAAATATTATTAACTATTTGAAACATAATTATTAGTATAATTATTTTTGTTCAAAGAACTTAATGGCCAACATTTTTTTTCTGAATCGAGAATTGTTAAGGGGCTGTCACAAACTTCTGTCCAAATTTTTTATCACTTCTGTCCCAACGAAGAGAGAGAGAGAAGAGAAATAGGGTTTAACCTCCACTCCATGTTAATCACTCCATGTTAATATTCTTTAATATTAAATCATGAACAGAAAAATTTCAACATTTTCCTAATCTGACAATTATAGTGACCAGGCCCTGAGTTCACAAAGCATTCTCAGATTTGCCTTAAGAATTTACTCAAAAATGTTCTCCTTATTTTAACTAAAATATAGCCCTTTATAAAACTTTTGTTGTTTTAATGTATCAAATACATCAATAATAACGCAAATCTGAGAATGCTTTGTGAACTGGGGGCCTGTGTGACAGATCATATTTGTTTAATATATGTTTAACGTGACAGCAAACTGAGTCGGAAGTTGCATTTCTTCTAATTTATAATTACATACTTTATGTATGAAAAGATTGTGAAGTACGTTACTTTCATAGCAAAAAAAGTATCATATTAGATAGTAAAAAGATACTCTTCCGATAACTGGAAGGGCAGTTTTCAATTAAACATTTTCTTGGCTAAGGGTCTGAATAAATAATTCGATGTTGAAATTATAATAATAAAATACATAATAATTTATACAAAATACTGTCAATGTATATCAGAAAAACAAAAACCAGGTTGAAGGGACCATCCCTATGTTAATACAAAGGATGATAATTTAGGAAACTTCCCAAAATTTCAACACTTGCGATCCAAACGGATAACCTGTGGAACATACTCTCAAAGCATGTCAAGTGTCCATGACTATTTATCATATCACAACCTGCATAGGTATTTGCATTTAAATATCCCTTACTTTTTTCCACGCCAGTAGACTCAATGACAGGTGCGTTAACCATTCGGCCGGCCAACCCCCCGCTGAATGATAAATTAAATATTGGTTATTGAGTGTTGAACTCACGTCAAAATCCATCTGTGTGAGCTTAAGAGATCTAGATCTATCTATGGTTTATTCGTTTGGACCAAATTGTTGAAATTTGTGGCTGCCCCTTATGATAAAAATATTGAGAGCTACATGACTATACACTGCATAGCAGGGTCTTGACTTCTTTCAAAAATTGTCTTTATATATAGTTATTGGGATCCCAAGATTTTTAAAGACTTTGAAAATTAAGCAGTATGGCTTCTAACCACGTTAAATGTGAGTCCTAGTGTATAATAATCTTCGTTTATCTTTGGTAAAACCCGCCGGCCATTTTGAAATCGGCAGCATTTCATTCTAACAAATCCCGCCAATCAGTAGCCACTGGGGGCCGAGCTAAAGAACCGATTTCACGCTGATTAATGGCCGGCGTGTTTAACCAGAGATAAACGAAGGATAATATTATCTCTGGGATCGAAATTGACTGTATAATAGCAGGGCTTTGACTTTAAATCTCTGTTAGTCCTGCACTTGTTTTATCCACAGTATTTTGTAATCAAGTTTTACAAATATTTTGGTTTAAAATTAATCTAATAAGTAGTCTTCATACAACATTTTGAAACAAATGCAACATTGTTATAAGTGAAATGATATCTTAAGAAAAACTTGTAAAACATTTAAAATGTTAAAGAAACTGTCATAGGTATACCGAGCACCTCAATAGTCATGTCTATAAGATACGACTAAAGAATCTCATCCTCTGTTTCCGCAGTGATCTCATTGTGTTCTACTCTACTATACCCTGGGTTCATATCCATGGGGTATTCACATATTCAAATTATTTGCCCTTGATCATAGCTTGATTCTACGAACCAATCAAAAAACTTTTTACAAAACCAGTCTTACAAAGACTCTTTAGCCTAATTGTTTACGTTCACAACAATATGGCAGCTTGTTGCAACATGATGAGAGTTACTTCCTGTCGCCAACTTCATTGCAATTAACAATTTACTGGATTGGTTGATAAAAATAACACAATCATCAAGGGCAGATTACTTGAATTAACCCAGAGGTTAGTAGAATAGAACAGGGAATGAGACCACTGGGGATACTGAGAATGAAAGAATCTAAGAACAGTAAGTGACATACATGTAGCAACTCTGAACATATAAATCGGACAATACAGACAACAATTTCAACTATATACAGTCCATTGATATGTATACATAAATTTTAAAGCTTATATATTCTGCATCGCAACAATATTAAACATAAATAATTTCTTAAAACATCCTTCGCCCTAAACCATGGACAAAAACAATTACAAAATATCTTTAAATTCACAACCATATAACTTTAGCGAAGCTCAATAAAAATACGCCTGGATGTAATCATTATAATCGTACCTGTCAAAATGTCAGAAATGAAATGGGGTTTAACATCCTCCTGGGCTAAAGAATACAGGCATACGCCACACAGTGTGCTTTTGCCCTGACATCGGCGCTACGGCCCACGCTACAGCAAATACCAACAATCAATAAAAGGAGAACCTGGAGAAAACCCACAAGGTTGGACAGGCGATCTTACTCCTTGTCACGTACAACTGGGGAATGGAAACCACGCCAGTAGACTCAATGACAGGTGCGTTAACCATTCGGCCGGTCAACCCCCCGCTGAATTAAGAAAACATTTTTTACAGGTGTTTCTGAAGAACAGAAATTCAAATTGGTGTGGTCTAAATATTCAGACATAATGAACTGGCTCCTGACATTTTGAACATGTATTAATAATATCACCAAAAAAAAACATTGACAAAATACAAATCTGTACCAGAAACAAGTACTATTGTTCTATGGACCAGGAACTGACCATGTTCTTGGAAAAAATTCAAAAATCTAATTCACCAAATCTAATTCCTGGTCCAAAAATGACAGACATCCCTGGGATTGTGTCTGACAAATCTGAGTTTGTACCTGACAATGACTGTGACAGGTGCCTTATTTCCAGGGTTGCAATAAAAATGAATCACATCACATGAGGACAAACATCACTGACTACAAACTATCACATATATTGATATTCCTTATTAGCTTTTAAGTACAAAAAAGTTATAAACAATACAAACAGTTTACGTAATAAAACAAAAACCCCTTAAAATATTCTTTCTTTTAATTCAAAGATTTTTTTTAATGAATTTTAACAGAAGTAACAATACTTTCTTCACAAATTACTAATTTCTTAAGCATAGTGTGGTTGCCAGGCAACAAAAATATATTATCTACACACCTGTGGTAAATTGAAATGGAAGCTGTCAAGTTTCCATAGAGAAATAATGTGAATTTTAACACAAGTAACAATACTTTCTTTTACAAACAAGGTGCCTCACAAATTACTAAATCTCTTAAGCATAGTGTGGTTGCCAGGCAACAAAAATCTATTATCCACACACCTGTGGTATATTGAAATGGAAGCTGTCAAGTTTCATGGGGAAATACCCATGGATAATGTGATGTATAAAAACTAATTCTATCAGAGTCTGCTAACTTTAAGTACCTGCATCAGTATCAATTTATAAATATTGGAATGTTTTGATCTAAATGGAATGTACTTCAACATCAAACATTTATTAAAATAATTGACAGGCCATTTACATTTTATGGAAAATATCATATTTTTGCATGTTTGAAGACCTAAAAATGAGTAAACTCTTTAGTTAAAATCTTAGCTATGAATGTAGCAAAAACATTCTAACTCTGGTACAAATATTTTTGCAGACCTAAAATGAGTAAACTGTTTAGTTTCAAACTTAAAATATATATGGGTTATCTATGAATGTGGCAAAAATATTCTGACTCAGGTACGTTTATTTTATTTTTGTGAATCTAAAGGTCACCTAAAAATTAGTAAGAAAAATTTGTTTTAATATATTTATATATAAGAAATCCATATGTAGACCTAAAATAGATTAGTTTCAAACTTGTATAAATGGGTAATCTGTATACTTAAATGAATACGATCTTTAATTTCACACTTAGATCTATATAGGTGTCTATGAATGTAGCAAAAATATTGTGAATCAGATACACAAATATTGTGTAGAAAATAGACAATAAGATAAAATCCAAATTTTAGTAATTTGATTGGATAATATAAGATTGATTTTAGTGCTTAGCCAATCAAAATTGAAGTATCTACTAAAATTTGGATTTTATCTTTAGTTAAAATTTCGAGAAACAGGGCCTTGTATATAGTAAAATATAATGTATTGTATAATGTAAGAATTTGGGGTAAAATCACAACCATATATAACTGTATTATTTAATTTAAGGTTACATTAAAGTCACTTATCGTCATTTTTTGGGGGTGGGGGGGGGGGGGATTTTAAATCTCCTTTCAAACTAAAATATTGTGAAAGTTAAATCTTTAAAAGGAAATGAAATGGGGTTTAACATCCTACTGTTCAGCTCCAACTGGGCTAATGAAGACGGGAATACGCCATGCAGTGTGCTATGAGGGAAATTTTGCCCAGGCAGCGGCTCTATGGCCTACTCTTATATCGAATTCCAACTGCCAAGGGATCATTTACATGCATGCCAATGTATACATGGGACCTCGGTTTTTCATCCCATCTGAACGACAAAGGGTAACCACGTCGGAAAATCCTGGCTAATGCGACCCTACTCCTTGTCACGTACAACCGAGGATTCGAAACCACGCCAGTTGACTCTTGACAGACCGTATGATACAGCGCGCACGTGCTAACCATTCGGCCATCCAACCCCAATATGAATACATTATAATATGTTGTGAACAAAAAATATATATTGTCCCGTTCATTCGTTCCTAGAGTTGTACGTCCACTTCCACCAAGAGTGATATCTTAGACAAGTGTTTCCTAAGAAACTTGCCCGAGGAGGCCACAAAATAGGCTTGATCCAGCTTTTGGGTAAGACACAATGTCTTTGCAGAGAAGCGCCCAAGGTGAATTTCATCCAAAGGAGAAGCTCCGGGTGGTATATTGTCCCAAAAAATTCTTTTATATCTTGTCACCCCAAAATTATATATATATTGTCCCGCCCCCTTAAAACAATTATACATCGTCCCAAAAAAATGTACATATTGTTTCCCCGCCCCCCTACAAAATATATATTCTCCCCTCCCCCCCAAAATATATTGTCACCCCCAAATCATATATATTGCCCCCCCCCCCCTAAAAAATTAAACATTGTCCCCCAAAAATTACATATTGTTTCCCCACCCCCCAAATTATACATTGTTCCCCAAAAATTTACATATTGTTTCCCCGCCCACCACAAAATATATTGTCCCAAACAAGTATTTGACGATCAGAGGCTTCAAGTATATATACTGTCCATAGCACGTTCAACAAAATTAAACAATTAAAAATCAAATAAACAAACAAATGCTAATATCAACAAAAATTATAACAGACATTTTGACATTATTCGTTCACCATGAAATCAAATTAAATGAAATTTATACACTCATTACAAATATTAATTATAAGTTATTCAAAACATTGTCAAAACAAAAATAACCCTTTATCACTCTGACCACCCTCGAAACACCCTTTAACGGGACATAAGGCACCCATCACAAGACACAAATTGGAGGGTTTTGAGCACACAGGTGATTTAACTACAGTGTTCTAGACCCTTATCCCTTCGAGAGATTGAGAGTGAGAAATGTTGTTTAACGTTTGCTCAACACAACACAACTCATTTGGACCTTCCTTGAAACTGTCTTTAACTGGACATAGGCACATGTCACAGATGCAAATAGGAGGGTCTAGAGCACAGGTGATCTAACTACCAACTAGTGTTCCAGACCCTTATCACCCCGAGAGAAGGAGAGTGAGAAATGGGGTTTAATGTCCACTCAATACAAACTAGTCACTTCTGGACTAACATGGTTCAATTTTATTTCAATAATTCGATCGCGCGTAGGAGTCTTTAGCAGTGGAAGAAGCTGGAGGACCCACAGAAAATCCACAAGGTTTCGACAGGCGACCATACTCCTGTCATGTACAAGTGGGGAATCGAATCCACGCCACTGGACTCAATGACAGACCTTGTGATTTCACAAGCATGTGTTAAACCACTAGACCATCCAACCTCGCTTATCACCTGTAATATATAGGTTGCGTGATAATTTGTGTCTGACTGTGACAAGTGCCTTATGGTGAGGCTTGTATTATATATACATTGTGCACTGATCTGTGTCCAACAAATGACAACCTCCACGACAGGGGCCATATGTCCAGGATACATTGTGTGATAATTTATGCCCGACAATGTCGAGACAAGTGCCTTGTGTCCGGGCTTGTATATATACATTGTGTGATAACCTGTGTATGACAAAGTCTATGACAAGTTCCTTGTGTCCAGGCTTGTTGTATATGTACATTATGTAATAATTTTGCCTGACAATGTCTATGACAGATGCCTTGTGTCCAGGCTTGTGCATATACACTGTATAATAATTTGTACTTGACCAAGCTTGTAACAGGTGCCTTGTCCTGGCTTGACTAGTGCTCCTTAGACCGCCACAAACCACCAAAGTTACCTAAACAGCTGTAGCGCCTCCAAGAACTGGTAGGTTCCTACAACACAGGGCTGTTTAGAAACAGCAGTTTGGAGGTGTCCAGGAACATGCCCGTTATGAACTATATCACTCTATAATTTTCTTCAATGAACAAGGGTTGTCAATATTTACATGCAACAAGTGGTAAAAGGTTTAACAAATCATCTTGTCATCTCATATGTTCATTTAAACAATGTATCATTTCACCATGACATATTTTTTACAAAAAGTGTTTACAAATTGGTTGCCAGGCAACGAAACATAAGCTCATCAACAGTTTCATCATCTGAAATACTTATAAAATTCAGCAATAGAGACATTAGTTATTCATAGCATAAAGGTAAAAACAATGGTTGAATTGAATATGAAATAAAATTGAGACATTCCAAGAAAAAATATTTAGCTGATAATTAAAGTGTTAAAAGTTAATACAAATATATTATATCTCTATTAAAGATGCATTATGTAAGATTTAGATAAACAGCTGTCAGTTCTTTCTATAATAGTTAAATATGCATTCTGTAAGAATGAGAGCAAGGGCTGGTCGTTCTTGGTATAATAGTTTAAAAAAATGGATAATGAAAAATGTATATATTGGAAATTTCAATGAAATCATTTTATTCTGTTTATTATTGTAGCAACAATCTATTTTATTGTTAAACTTGTAAATGGCCAGAGTGTTCTAATTTACTTAAAATTGGAGCCATCCGATGGGCCAGAGAGTTGTTTATGGGTTTGTCATGTTAATAAATGCTTAAATATTAGTTTATATAACATCTGAAGCTAGAGAGAGAGAGAGAGAGAGAAGTAGGGTTTAACGTCCACTCGACACAAACTAGGTCATTTCGGGACTAACACATTTTTTAATTTTATTTACATAATTCGCTTGTGCGTAGGGGTCTTTACCAGTGGAAGGAAACCAGAGGACCCGGAGAAAACCCGCGAGGTTGGACAGGCGACCCTACTCCTTGTCACGTACAACCAGGGAATCGAAACCCCCGCCAGTTGACTTAATGACAGATTGTATGAAACAGTGCGCGTGTGCTAACCATTTGACCATCCAACCCCCCTGTAAATGGTCAGAGTGTTCTAATTTACTTTAAATTGAAGCCATCCGACGGCCCAGAAAGTTGATTATGGGTTTGTCATGTTAATAAATGCTTAAATATTAGTTTATATAACATCTGAAGTTATAAAAAAGACCTGCCATAGACAAATTTTTTTCTTACATAATGCATCTTATTGATTGGTCCATGCCACAATTTGAGTTTTAATCTTTTTTTAAAGCTTACATGATTTGTTAATGCAAATAGTTTAAATAAAAAAATCGGATGTTTACAAAATTTGAGATCAATGGTGTCAATATAAAAGTTAACCCTTTTTTTTATATTGGTGATAGCTGATAGGTGTTCTAACTTGAAAGAGCACAGGCTCAGGTAAAAAAAAAAAAAAGAAAAAAGAAGATTTTCTGCATCTCACAGACAATAGCAATGTAATCGTAACCTAATTAGAACCATAGACCAAAAACTACATCAAAGGCAGTCAATGTCACAACAAACTGCTTTATGAATTTGCAAAAAATGTCTTGAAACAAAAGGTGCACATTTTGAATGCTTATTTCATTCATAAACACAGTCCACCTAAATTTTATTAATGGACAGAAAATCCATTATTAAAATATAAAAAGGCCATTATTAAAATGAAAACACATTTTGAATGCTGCTTTCATTCATAAATGTAGTCTGCTAAAATTTTATTCACGGACAGAAAAATGCCATTTCATGATTAAGCCCATTATTAAAATGAAAACATTTTTTCAAAATAAATTGGACCTGCAATTTGTTGTGTTTTAACAAGAATTTTATCTGTGTAATTTTATCATATTTATTAATTAGAATTTAGACACGAAGATTTCAATAGCACTCAAGGCTTGCAATTTGTTATTGTTATGTCACTCGGCAAACCTCATCAGACTCTGGTACCCTACATCTAGCCTTGGTTGTATAATGGTAGGTGATATGTATCTACACCTATACAATTGCGACGTGGCTACCAGTTTACTTAACCCAAAAATTTGACGCTTTTATAAAGAAGTTCTTAATATTGCGTCGTTCAAACAGTTCATAGAATTTTCATTGCAAAGTTGTCTTTTGTTTAAAGAAAATTGGAAAATATTGCAAGAAAAACAGCTTCAGACATTGAAAGCTTTGTATGATAAAACACTCTCCACAGACGTCATTATGGGCGACGCCATTTGTAATCCAATGGCGGAACTCGTCATACAGCCAAGGCTACAGTAGATGTGGGGTACTGAAGTCTGTTAAGGTTTGCCGAGAATACAAACATCCTTCGTAATTTCCATTTTTTTTTTTATAATTATTAATATTTACATGAATCAATAGAATTTATACACTTAGATGTGTGAGCTTAGAGAAAGAAAGACTTGTCTGTTTATACTTTATGGTTTCTATGGTAATTGATGAACACTGAGTGAGCAAGTGTGAGCTTTATACTTTATGGTTTCTATGGTAACATGATCAACATTGAAGAATTAATTGTCTACTCGTATCCATCGTTGTATAGACCTTGTTAGAGCATCCACCCATCTGAAAAGACACCAAAAAAATATTTTACATGAAACATGAAATTCTACTGTTATTTGTAGCAACAAAGACGTGTGCTACGGCCTACTCTTATTCTAAATTCTGATTTTCATGTGCCAATATGTGTACTCTGGGTCTCGGTTTTTCGTCCTAATCGGAACAACTAGACAGCTGTCCTTGTCAGGCCCTCTGCCATTCACCACTGACAAGGGAAACCATGCCATAAAATCCCACGAAATTTTCTAGCCCAACATCGAGAGTGAGTCTAAGACCTCAAGGCTAGCGAGCCATGGGTTCGCACTATTTGTCCATTTTTTCCAGAAATAGAAACGGAACACTGACTAGACATGTGAACATCAAATGTCCCACTCAAACTGCTGCTTGGGTATTTCCGACTTTCTGTTGTCAAAATGCTGATTTGTACATCATGGTAAAATTCTTTTAAGTTAAAAACATGGGCTGCCAGACAATGAAAAATGCTCACCAACAGTTTTGCCCCCCCCTCCCCCCAATGTAAACAATCCAACACCAAGTTTTTACAATATACAGTAAACCTTGCATAAGTCGGATTTGTATAAGTCGGATCTTCGCCCAACTCGAATAAAATCGTTTGGACCCTTTGATCTTGCACGTTGTTCTTATTAAATTTCTGCGTGTAAGTCGGATCTTCACTCAACTCGGATTAAAATGTTCAACCCATTCGATCTAATTCCGTCTTTTTTCCTTCACCTAAGTCGGATCGGCAGTATGTTCCATGCACAGAGCCCCAAAATACTTTCCTCTTTCATTTAGACTCAAATCAGCCTATTTAATAGAATTTTCCCGGAAAATTTGAAACTCGCTATCTGCTGTACGAGACACTTTCCTGGAAAATTTTGGACATTTTTCAAAGATGGCGAAAAAATGGAAGTTAAAAGTCTCGCCTAACTCGGATAAAATTGGTCTGTCCACTTAGATCCGAATTTACTGTATTTCCATTTTCTTTTACAGATTCCATTTAAGCAGTTTTACCTTTGTTATTAATTCACTATAATTTTAAAAATCTATTTCGAGTTTCCCTTTTCTAAAAAACAGAATGCATTTTAGCAGTTTTACTTTTGTGATTCATTCAATCATTCATTCATTCACTCACTCTTATTTTGAAAATATATTTCCATTTTATTTTCTTAAAAATTGAATCCATTTTAGCAGTTTTACCTTTGTTTGTCAGTCTGATTATCAGCACAGAAGTAAAATGTCCGCATATTTTTACTAGGAGGATGAAGTACCAAACTAAATCTTTTATTATTCAAACCACATCCATCTACGGTGTAACCATGGAGATGAACAACACCTAAAATAAATTTTTTTTGCATCATTATGTTTGCTTCAGTGGATAATTGGGCCTTCAGATTATTTCTGGTTACCATGTTGGTTCCAAAAGAAACAATTTCTATGGGAACATCCAATTTTGGGACTAACATAAGGTTCAATTTTATTTCAATAATTTGCTTACAAATAGGGGTGTTTAGCAGTGGGAGGAAAATGTAGGACACAGAGAAAACCCACGAGGCTGGACAGGCGACCCTACTCCTTGTCATGTACAACCAGGGAATCAAAACCACTCCAGTTGACTTCATGACAGACTTTATGATACAGCGCGCGCACGTTAACCATTAAGCCATCCAACCCCCCGGCATAATATACCTATCAAGAGATAGAACTGGTTCAATGTCCTATTTGCATGATTGGGCTAATGAAGACAGGCATATGCCATATAGTGTGAACGGAGGGAAATTTGGATGCTAACATATGCATGCGACCTTGTGTATTTTTGTCATAAGACGTTGTTTCTAAACAAGTCCACTGTCCTGCACTTCTGATAAGGGGAATCAAGAATCCTGAGGATCTTTTCTCAGCAAAACACTGGAATGGATCCCGGGAGCTGCTTGTTCGTGTGTCAATGCTTTACTCACTAACGGCTGTGGCAACCAGTTCAAAAGAAACAATAACTGAATAAATAAATAGAACTGGTTTAGCAATACAATTACTTCTCATATATTCTTTGAATGGCACACTTTTTATGGAATAACAATAACAACGGTTTATTACAATGTGACATTTCAACAAGATTTAACAAGTCGTTATCAAGCATATATCTATTTGTGTATATGGTTGATAACGACATGTGAAATCTGGGTTGAAACGTCGCAGTGGCGGCACCGTGAACCAGAAAACCTCCTTTCTGATTGTTGTTAAGAAGGAAATTATTTCTGTGTTATTCAGTATTCAGTACAGACTACAAATAATGTATTTCAGCAAAAATGTTTAAATATTTTCTAAGTGAGCACCTCCCACGTCACTTCACTAGCAAATCCTGGTGCTGGTTGTGTAATGTGATATATATGCTGTATGATAGGGACTGGTTATGCAAGTCTCATTGTGTCACATGACTTCTGAATTCTAGTACTTGAAGACAACTTTACACAGGTGGTGTCGCAAAAAAATCAAGGAAAAGAAATGAAATGGGGTTTAACGTCCTACTGTTTTGCTCCAAACTGGGCTAATGAAGACAGACATACGCCATACACCTGATCTCCAGGCTAGCGAGCCAGCGCCTTACCCACTTAGCCACCATGATCCCAGAAAAATAATCCATCGATATTAATATATTTACCTTTAGCACTAAGTGAACTCATAGATTTATAAAAATATATACAGCCATCTTTTATAAGGGAAGTACGGTAGGAATGTTGCATTTGGCTAACCGGTTTTGTCAATAAAAGTCGCCAAGGTTACTTAATAAACAGTAATGTTATAGGTGCCTCGACTTGGGTCAGCTAAGAGTTATTATATTTACCTTTAGCACTAAGTGAACTCATTGATTTGTAATAATATATACAGCCATCTTTTAACACACAGTAACGTTTCTGCCATGTTTTATGTTGCTGACCTAGTTTAGTCAGATGACCTGTACATTCCGGTTTACGTATTTCAAGGGCAGGTAACCCTACATTATGACTGCTGACTTCTAACCAAGAATCTTTCTGTAAGAATAAGCAATCAAACAAGAATGAAATATATTCTACTTCAAATATATCAAAAATAAAAATCTCTTTTTTGTTTCTATGAAGAAACTGCTTAATTACGGTTATTTAAAACTTACAAATGTGTTTTAACCCGTTAACTGTGTAGTTTTTAAAACGTTAACTACCCCTTATTGTGTAATTAATTTGACGAAAAACTTCATTTTTGGACCTTTTTATTCCTGAATACAAATGATAGTCTGAAACCATATTAAAACTAACGGTAAATAGAGTTGTCTCCCTTCAATTGGGGAAAATACCTCCAAGGCGTTATATTATGTCCTACACACGGTGAGTGGCAGTTGTTCAGGGCGTTATATAACACCCTACGCAGTTAATGGGTTAAATCCCAGCTAAATGAAATCTATTATTCCAAAGAATAAAAAAGTTATCTTGAAAAATTGAACTTATCTTTATCGGGAAATACCAAAATGGAATGGTAATTATTTTAAAATCTTTACACTTAATAGGCATCTAGCTTTAACTTTCAATACACTGATAACAGGAATTTTAAAGTGTATGAAGAAAACAATATGTAAGATTTAGATTAAGAGCTGGTTATTCTTGCTATAATAGTTCCAAAATAGATAATGCAAAATTTATATACTGAAAATTTCATTCCAATAACTTTATTCTGAGCAAAGTTATCTGTTTTTGAAGTTTGACAAGATGTGGCATAGATTGTTTATTATCATAATAACATAACAATTCATAATAACGGTACTTGTTATTCAAGACATAGCCTTGAATCGCCATTTTTAAATTATATCATTAAATGGCAACCATGTTTTAATTCGTTTAAATCTCCACGATCCTATAGTCTAGAGTTTATTAAAGGCAAGTGAATAAATGTCTAAAAAATAATTTATATTTTTGAAGCCAAAATAATGGAAAGAAATGAAATGGTTAACGTCCTACTGTGCTGCTCAGACTGGGGTAATGGAATTTTGCCCGGCCAACAGCTATACGGCCTACTCTAATATCAAATTTTAAGTGCCAAGGGATCTTTTACGTGCACACCAATGTGTACACAGGACCTCGATTTTATGTCCTATCTGAACGACTAGACAGCTGTCCTTGTCAGAAAACACCTGCAATAAGCAGATTTAGCTCTTACATAATGCATCTTTAAAGGGCCAACCCGATAATATTTTGGAGAATAAAATTTCTTAAGTTTGGGTTAAAATCCCATAAAAGTCTCTACCTTAGGGCCAAGCAACTAACTCAATATATGTGATACATTTTCAAACAATTTAAACCCGTCAATCTTCATTTGGAAATGGAAACCAGCATCCCAAGCTGTGTTTAAATTTCATACGTACTCAGACTTTTATTTTGTAGACTCTGTTCAAATCGGGATAGTCCCTTTAAGTACATATAACTTTGTCTGGTCATTTTATGTGCTCTTTAACAAAAGAACAAAAGAATCTACTTACTCGTTTCTTGCATCTTGCTGCAGCTTCTGTTAGTACACCAACCCACCTGAAAATCATCAAATACTCAGGTGTAAGACATCACACAGAGTTTTATTCCATTGATTATAGAGGCAAATGTAAACAAAAATGAAATGAAATGGGGTTTAACGTCCTACTGTTCTGCACGATTAGGCTAATAAAGACGAGCATATGCCATACAGTGTGCTATGAGGGAAATTTTGCCCGGACAGCGATGCTAAGGCCTACTCTTACATCGAATTCCAACTACCAAGGTGTCTTTTATGTGCACACAGGGCTTCAGTTTTTTGTCCTATCCGAATGACTAGACAGCTGTCCTTATCAGGTCCTCTATCCTGCACCACTGACAAGGGGAAACTACGCCAGAAAACCCTGTCAATCGGATATTAACTTTGACCTCAAGATCGTCCACAAGATTTTTTTGAAGTGATCAAGGGCCATAACTCTGACAGTAATTATCGGAAATCGCTGAAAATCAATAGGCTTCTTCGTCTCATGATCTTAAACACTGTGTCTGGCACAACAACTATGGATAAAATCATACATACTGTGACATTTCTTCTCGACTGTCTGTCATAAAATAATAAGTACGGGCTCCATATTTCTCGGCTTTAAAACAGAATTCTTTTGTTGTATCTGTATATCGTGATATACAATAACCTGATAGGGGTATAGCACCAAGTGGATCCAATTCCTGTAAACACAACAAAACATGGAGATAAACAATGGAGAGAGAGAGAAAAGAAAAATGGGGTTTAACATCCACTTGACACAAACTATGTCATTTTCGGTCTAACATATTCAATTTTTATTTCAATAATTTGCTTGCACATTGGGGTCTTTAGCAGTGGGAGGAAACTTTACTCCTTGTAATGTACAAGTAGGGAATTAAAACCATGCCACTTAACTCAATGACAGACCGTCTGATCCAATGCACAAGATTTAAACATTAGGCCAATCAACCCCATATTCATCAAGACTAAAAATGGATTACCAGGCAACAAAAAAACCCATCCTAAATACTTTTTTCATAAGCACTACTGACATCAAATTATTTGTTCTATGTTGAGAAAGTAGCTTGCATTACCCCAACAAGATTTACACGTAGATCATCTTCAATAGAAGGCTTGATCTCGCTTTAACTCTGTACATCTTATCAAGGCCTTCACGTAATACCCTGCATCAGTGATGGGATTTCAAAAACTTTCTTGTCGGACACTTTTACCGAAAATAAAGGGACATAACTCTTATCGTTATTTAAGATGGCACTTTTTAGACCACACACAAAAATCTCGTGTAAACAAAATATTCAAATTCATCCGTAATATAAAAATAGGTGCCCCTCGTTATTTTTCATATTTAATTCCCGTACGGTATTCAAATTTATGTCAGTAATATTCCTACAAAATTCGTAATACGATAGAATGAAAGCGTGCCAACTACTGCCGATCTGTACTGTTTCAAATTACTCCAAAATTACCGTATTTTTGGGTCATAAGTCGCTAAATTTTTCAGCAGAAGTCCGGCATTTGTCTTATACTCCATTACGACTTATGTACAGAGGTTAAGAATATGATATCCCAAAATTTTTTGGGCAATAAACGTCGCTATACCACAACGAGGAATGACACCATCCGCTAAATAATCGCATTCCGCTCTACCACGCGCTATGGTCTAAAACAATTAAGTACTTACACTATTCCAATCGACATATTCGTCAACATTGCCTAGATTACTTATTTCTATATTTAAAAACATAAACCCCATTCAAAATATGATCATAAATCCGAGAATATGCCATCAAAATAGAATCTTTTCTTCGACATTAGAAGCGTGAATTTAGTCACGTATTCATTTCATAATTTCACACGTCTCGCGAGATTTCTAATACTGGTTCAGCACTCGGCAAACCTCGGCAGATTCTGTTACTCTACATCTAGCTTCGGCTGTATGACGGTAAGTGATATGTACCTAATCAGATTTTCTTCAAACAAGGACAACTTTGCTCTGAAAATTCTTAACACGCTTCGAATGACGCAATTTTGATAACTTCTTTCTAAAACCGGCAAGTTCGTAGGTACATATCACTTACCGTCATACAGCCGAAGCTAGATGTAGAGAAACGGAATCTGCCGAGGTTTCCCCGAGTGCTTTAACTGCGTGCTAGCAATGTCTAGTATTTTTCGGATATGTGTGTGTGTGAAATAGCTTTATTTAACGCTCGCTTCCACCAAAGTGATATCGTAGACGAATTATAATGACTGTCTATTGATCTGGGCGTTATATACTCTTACAATATGTGACTTCTATGACTAGTTTATACATGTTGTCGGCTCACATCAATGCGATTAAAATGTCCGACAATGCAGAAACCACGAGGTTAACACGAAGATTAAAATTATAATGGATTGATGAATAGTCCGACAAATGGGAAACAATGGCTTCTGTTTAAGATTAGATTGATGAATTGTCCGACAAAGGATTAAGTCAGTCAATCAAGGCAGATTAAGTAGTTAATCAAGGTAGGTTTATAGACCGTATAACACGATAAATACGTTGATCACTTAATTGCCTAATCAATCCAGCGTATTATCGACGATAATCTGGTTGAGTGGTAGTTATACACTCAGTAAACTATATTAATTTCGGAATTTAGAATATTATTCACCATGTCTTGATGTCCGATTCGGCATATTCGGACAATTTTGGGCGTTTGGAAAAAAGATTCGGACAAGTAAGGAATATACAGGCAAAATCCCATCACTGCCCTGCATATTTCGGCACTAATTACGATTGGGTACAAGACCAGCTTGTGAGCCTATCAGATTCCTCGATCATCGCGAAAAACAGGTCTGTCTCGTGCTTTCCAGCTAAAATGTCTACCTGTGATAATCGAGTGGCAAAGTTCAAAGTTCGTTTAATGTCAAGGTTTCCGTGGAGGTCACTATATTTGATTTAAGCGTGTTTGTGTCACAATTTCTGATTGGACGCTACTGTTCACTTGTGTGCAGTAAATAGAGATAACGTAGCTATAAGTTTGGGAATTCTGAAGTAAACAAGCAACGTCCAGATGTTGTAAAACTCGCAGTCGTTGCTTCAGGAACATGCATGTAGACATATACCTGATCAGTTTTATAATAGTAGAGACAATTGTCTTGTCGTAGAACAAAATATCTTTTCTTCCACATTTTAACAAGCGTTGACGTTCCTAGCTTTAACATATAACCACCCATTACAGTCTTCTGTAAATCACGTACTGGTTGAAAATCACTATAAGCCACTTCCAACCTCACTATCTTATTATCTGAAAATCAAGTGAAAATAGTTATTAAAGAATAGTTGCTAGGCAACAAAACATATGGCCACAGCAGCTAAGATATCTAAGCAGTCCTTAAAGAAAGAGAGGGGGTAATGGGGTTTCACGTCCACTCATTAGTGAGAAAACCCACAAGGTTGGACAGGCGACCATACTCCTTGTCACGTACAACAGGAAAATCGAAACCCAGCCAGCTGACTCAATGACAGACCGTATGATACAGCGAGCACGTGCTAACCATTCGGCCATCCAACCCCCCCAGTCCTTAAAAAAAAGAGAGAGACAGAGAGAGAGAGGGTTTAATTTCCACTCAACAGAAACTAAGTTATTTTCGGGACTAACACATTGTTCTAGTTTATTTCAATAATTTGCTTGCACACAAGGGTCTATTTAGCAGTAGGAGGAAACTGTAGGCCTTGAAAAAATCCACCAGGTTGGACAAGCAGGGATCCTAAATCACTTCACTTGACTAAATGACAGTTAGAATTCCATATCAGAGTAGGCTGTAGTGCAGCTGTCTTGGCAAAACCCTATTTAAAAACTAATCCCAGCTAGCTATCATGCAGATTTAATTATTTATATAAAACTTACATTTTTGCACCAGTGTGACAATTTCTTCATGAGACAGTTCTAAAGTATTCACACCATTGACAGATATCACAATTTGTCCTTCTTGAATACCACATCTTTCAGCAGGACTATCTAAAATTAGGATAAAAGTACATCTTGATTTAGCAATAAATACAACAGGCCCCGAGTTCACAAAGCATTCTCAGACTTAAGTTGAGAATTTACTTAAAATTGTTCACCTTATTTTAACTAAAATATAGCCCTTTATAATAATTTTGTTGTTTTAATGTATCAGATATATCAATAAGAAACTATATGCAAAGTTTTGTGTATCTGGATCAAAGATATTTCTCATAAACAGTGATTGAAAGTTGAGCAAATTCTCAACTTAAGTCTGAGAATGCTTTGTGAACTCGGGGCCAGGCATTTGTAATTACATAAAAAATGTTCACCAGTAGGAAATGAAATGGGGTTTAACATTATACTTTTCTGCACCGACTTCATTAGTAAGACATTAAACTCCATTTCATTTCATTTCCTTGCCAGGCCCTTTTTGTCCTGCAGCACTGACAGTGACAAGAGGAAACCATGCCGGAAATTCCAAAGGAAAATTCTCGGTCCAACACTGGGAGCAAACCCAAGTGCTCTTGGTTATCGAGCTAGCGTGTTACTCACTGAGTCACCACCGATCTTCTTGGCCAACAAATATTAAGACAAAAATCATTCAATCAACATAAAAAAACTACCAAAAATCCATCAAGCAGTTTTTGAAAAGAAATTGAAATTGGATACCCTTGTCTACTCAACATGCTCTTGTCCCTGCCTCACCTCTATGGGTCTGGCAATTATGTTTTAATAACAGCAACCCGAGCAACAATCATACCAAAACCAAAATCCTTCAAGTGATTCCAGATAAGTTAAGTTAAAGGTGTTTAAATTTGCCCATCGAACTATGATGTGTCAAAGTGCTAAGACCTAACTAAGTTATTTAATATAATAATAACGAGAAAAGGGGGAGGGGGAACTGCTACACTTAAAGGACAATATTGGTGTCAGTCATTATTACATATGTGATAGAACTGGTTAAATACATTCCAAATATAATTTTAACACAGAGATCATTGCTATGGGAGATGTGTAACAAGCACGTGAAGAAACGGGAATTGACGCCAAACATGGCAAACACAAGTTATCCTTCTATTTAACTGACTGAAGTAACGAGCAATAACGGACAAACGATCGAATTTCATTTCACTGATAATTCCGTTAAAGATGAAAAGTTATTATATGGGACGGTGAGAGGGTGTCTCACAATTCAATTTGTGCGGAAAACCATAATTTTCTGCAGAATGTTTTTGTATGTCATTTATATATGATACAGAGAGAACAAGTCTACCAATGTGTTGAATAGTAATACCAAACGTGTTAAACACAAGACCTCTTAGCAACAGTTCTACTCAAACAAATAGATTCACAAATACCCAACAACTTAATGGTAGTACTCGATCAAATAATTTCACAAAAACCCAACAAGTTAATGGTAGAACTCAAACAAATAGTTTCACAAATAACCAACAAGAGAATGGTTGTACTCAAACAAATAGTTTCACAAATACCCAACAAGCTAATGGCAGAACTCAAACAAATAGTTTCACAAATACCCAACAAGTTAATGGTAGCACTCAAACTAATAGTTTCACAAATATTCAACAGATTAATGGTAGTGCTCAAAAAAAATAGTTCCACAAATACCCAACAAATTAATGGTAGCACTCAAACTAATAGTTTCACAAATATTCAACAGATTAATGGTAGTGCTCAAAAAAAATAGTTCCACAAATACCCAACAAATTAATGGTAGCACTCAAACAGTTTCACAAATACCCAACAAGCTAATGGCAGAACTCAAACAAATAGTTTCACAAATACCCAACAAGTTAATGGTAGCACTCAAACTAATAGTTTCACAAATACCCAACAAATTAATGGTAGCACTCAAACTAATAGTTTCACAAATATTCAACAGATTAATGGTAGTGCTCAAAAAAAATAGTTCCACAAATACCCAACAAATTAATGGTAGCACTCAAACAGTTTCACAAATACCCAACAAGCTAATGGCAGAACTCAAACAAATAGTTTCACAAATACCCAACAAGTTAATGGTAGCACTCAAACTAATAGTTTCACAAATACCCAACATGGTTAATGGTAGAACTCAAACAAATAGTTTCACAAATATTCAACAGATTAATGGTAGTGCTAAAAAAAAAAAAAATAGTTCCACAAATACCCAACAAATTAATTGTAGCACCCAAACAGTTTCACAAAAACCCAACAAGAGAATTGTAGAACTTAAACAAATAGTTTCACAAATACCCAATAAGTTAATGGTAGTATTCAAACTAATTGTTTCACAAATACCCAACAAGTTAATGGTAGTATTCAAACCAATTATTTCACAAATACCCAAATATGTTGAATAGTTGAATAATATTTTCACAAATACTCTATGTGTTGAATAGTGGATATAAACCAACAGCTTCACAAATACCTTATGTGTTAATAGTAATGCTCAAACTAATAGTTTTACAATATGCTGAATAGTAGTTCAACTTTCAACGCTTGTTCCAGGTGGAAGGAAAAACAAAATGGCATCCAAGAGTACAAGTAAACTTTGTCCAACAAATCCCAAAACACGTCCTGCCATCACCACGACGTTTTACATACCCATGAAGGAAATCACACCATGACGTTTTACATACCCATGAAGGAAATCACACCATGACGTTTTAAATACCCACGAAGGAAATCACACCATGACGTTTTACATACCCATGAAGGAAATCACACCATAACGTTTTAAATACCCACGAAAGAAATCACACCATGACGTTTTACATACCCATGAAGGAAATCACACCATGACATTTTACATACCCTCGAAGGAAATCACACCATGACGTTTTACACACCCATGAAGGAAATTACACCATAAGGTATTAAATACCCACAAAGGAAATTGCACCATGAGGTTACAAATACCCATTGAAGATCGCGCTGAAGGTTTTAAATACCCACAAAGTAAATCGCGCCATGAGGTTTTAATTACCCACGAAATGTGGTTTGAAATATCCAAGAAACATTGTGCTGTAAGGATAAACAAAACATGGTACTGAGGAGAATTTGGCTGATGATTTCTACAAGCAGCAGTCTGTTGTTATGTCTCAAATCTGGTAACAGGCCTACACATTCTTGGTTACCCTAGAATTCATGGCCATTCCCTACAATTACGTCATCAATCGAGGCAGATGTCCCAGGGCTCAATTCCAAAATAGATGGCACTTACGAATTAGTGTAATGAAACCATACACTAAGTTTCATGACACACCTTCAAATTGGAGAACAGTTATTAAATTGAAAATTGCCATCACAGAATTCAGTCAAGTTATTCATGTAGCAAGCTTTCCACATTAATTAGAAGTTATTGTGTTCCAAAAGGTGCATCCTCGGTATCCCCAGTGTACTCATTCCGTTCTACTCCACTACACCCTGGGTTAATCCATACGAACCAATCAAGAACAGTTTACAAACCTGTCATTTCGCCTCTGTTTTTATAAGGGTAGATAACCATATTCATGTCCATTAACTGAATGATTTATGTAAATAATGTATATATTTCTAATTGTATTATCAAAATCTGTAGTATGTTTCACGGATTTCAAATATGTAGAACGTCAGTATATTTGACTTTTGTTATTATTATTACTATTCGTTTTTTGTCTGAAATGTTTCATTCTGTTATGTTTATTATTATTGACCTTATACTTGGCAATTTGATTCACAAGAACTTGTCTACGATATCATGTGGACGTAAAACTCCACGAATGAACGATTCTCACTAATACTTTTGAACCTATATAAACGTCTGATCTTCATTAATATAATTTATTGTTAATAAATACGCATTTAGCATAATTTGGACTTCTCTCATTTAGGCCAACTCATAACCTTGTCCGATGAGAGTTACTTCCCTTTGCCAATCATTGGGATTGAATGATAAAAATAGCACAATCATCAAGGGCGGATAACTTAAAAACGTTTCCCCTCCCCCCATAGATTAACCCTGGGGTTAGAGGAGTAGAACAGAATGAAACTACTGGGGATACCAAGGATGAAAAAGGTGTGACAGACAGTCAAACAGACAGCTGCTTAGTCTTTGCAGAAAATATTCATCATCAGACTTAGTCAAGACATTCACCTACTGAACATCTACACAAAGTTTGAATATTCTACTTGAATGAGGGGGGTTGGATGGCTGAATGGTTAGCACGTGCGCGCTGTACCATAAAGTCTGTCATTGAGTCAACTGGCGTGGTTTCGAATCCCCGGTTGTACGTGGCAAGGAGTAGGGTCGCCTGTCCAACCTCGTGGGTTTTCTCCGGGTCCTCCGGTTTCCTCCCACTGCTAAAGACCCCTACGCGTAAGCGAATTATTGAATAAAATAAACCATATGTTAGTCCCGAAATGACCTAGTTTGTGTCGAGTGGACGTTAAACCCCATTTCTCTCTCTCTCTCTCTACTTGAATGAGAAACAAAGAGTTATTGTGTCTAATGAAATTGCACTTGGCCTAGCAGATTTTGCTAATCATCGCATTCAGTCAAAGCATCCTATCGTAATTAGAAGTAGAGTTACTGTGTCCCAAAATGTGTGACCGAAGACAAAAGGATAGAAACAGACAACCCCATTTTAAGTATATTGTTTCCTAAGGGGGGACAACAATCTGACATTCAGTCAAAGTATTCTATTAATTAGAAGTAGAGTTACTGTGTCCCAAAATGTGTGACCGCAGACAAACGGATGGAGACAGACAAACCCAGGGCGTTATATTACGTCCTGCACACGGTGAGTGGGTTAAAATTATTTGCCCTTAATGATTGTGGTATTTTTATCAACCAATCAAAAAATCATTAAATACAAAGGAAGTTATAGAAGGGAAGTAACTCTCATATGCATCTTTTTTTTTTTAAAACCATATTTTAAACCATATGCATATGCATCGTGTTGCAAACTTTTTTCATAAATGTGCAAACAAGGCGTCATATTGTTGTGAACGTAAACAATAAGACTAAGACTGGTTTGTAAATTGTTTTTTGAATGTTTCGTAGAATGAAGGTATGACCAAAGGCAGATAATCTGAATATGTGAATACCCCATGGATGAAACCAGGGTTTTAGTGGAGTAGAACGGAAGTAAAGTTACTCACTGTGTCATAAACTGTGTGACAGACGGACCGAAGGATGGAGAGAGACAAACTCATCTTAATAGTACCTGAAGGGAGACACACAGAGAGACAGAGAAATGGGGTTTAACGTCCACTCGACACAAACTAGGTCATTTCGGGACTAAGATATGGTTTAATTTTTTATTTCAATAATTCGCTTAGCAGTGGGAGGAAACCGGAGGACCCGGCGAAAACCCACAAGGTTGGACAGGCGACACTACTCCTTGTCACGTACAACCGGGGATTCGATACCATGCCAGCTGACTCAATGACAGGCCTTACGATACAGCGCGCACATGCTAACCATTTGGCCATCCAAACCCCCCTGAGGGGAGACAACTGAACAACCTAACAAAGATAGATAAAAAGACAGATCTGGGTTCAAGTATGAAAATAAAACATACCTGGGTCTACTGAAGTAATAAATGCAGGATGACTGTCCAAAATATGTAGACCAAAATCTGTATCTGTTGGTTTTTTCTCTACAACTATAAGTTTCTCTTGATCTACAATAAATATAACATAACATTCAAATATCTCTTATAACTTGGGTGGTCCATGACAAAACAAGTGGTTGCCATGTACAATACGTCCACATTCTGCAAGAGATGGACAGAGAACAGGGAAAATCAATAGGGTTCTTCCTTTCATTGTCCAAATGATTCACACAAAAACTGATTCAAGATTTAGCATTATAATTTAGTTTGTCATACACATGGTGACAAGATGAAATGAAATGGAGTTTAACGTCCTACTGTTCTGCTCCGAAATGGGATAAAGAAGATGGGCATACGTCATACCGTGTGCTATGAGGGAAATTTTGCCCGGACAGCGGCACTACGGCCTCCTCTTATATCGAATTCCAACTGTCAAGGGATCTTTTACGTGCACGCCAATGTGTACACGGGACTTCAGATTTTTTGTCCTTTCTGAACGTCTAGGACTGACAAGGGGGGACCACGCTGGAAAATCTGGACAAATTTTCCAACACCTGACCTCCAGACTGGTGAGCCAGCGTCTTACCCACTTAGCCAGTTATAAAGATAGTGTCAAAGCTATTGAATAGTTGTAGGGCTGTGATTCTCAACCAGTGTGCCCTGAAATTTTGAACAGCACTCTAAGAAAATTTCTCACCAAAGAAGCCAGCTATTCGACGGAAATTCGAAACACTACAATAGAGTAAGTTCATAGCTGTGTTTTTCTTTTATTAGTTTGAGCCATTCTATGTGTCTATGACTAATCTGTGTCTACGGCAGTGATGGGATTTCAAAATTTTTCTTGATGAATATTTTTACGAAAAATGAAGGGAAATAACTCTTATCATTATTTAAGCAGGCAGTTTTTAGACCTCACACAAAAATCATGTGTCAACAAAATATTGAAATTCGTCATGTTTTATATCAAATATTTTTCATATCTATTTAGCCTGGTGTGTTGCTATTTTTTCATGTATTCCAAGGTGCGCCGTTGGCAAAAAAGGGTTGAGAACCACTGTTTTAGGGTAAATCAGCCAGATTTGGAAGAATGTACATATTTCACATTTTGCGTAAAATGCAGGGGGCATAACTCTATGAGCCACCACGGCTCTTCTTAACATCAAAAATAAGTACTAAGATTGTAAGAATAGAAAATGAGAGAGAGAGAAATGGGGTTTAACGTCCACTCGACACAAACTTTGGTCATTTCGGGACTAACATATGGTTAAATTTTATTTCCATAATTTGCTTGTGCATAGGGGTCATTAGCAGTGGGAGGAAACTGGAGGACCCAGAGAAAACCCACGAGGTTTGACAGTCGACCCTACTCCTTGTCACGTACAACCGGGGAATCGAAACCACGTCAGTTGACTCAATGACAGACTATGATACAGCACGCACATGCTAACCGTTCGGTCATCCAGCCCCCCCCCCCAATATTGTAAGAATAAAAGATTACCAACAAGGACCTGAAATATACTTACCATAAACCTTGGCAGAAAGGCGATGATATTCTTGTTGACTCTCTTGTCTTTGTATTAGACATCTTCTGCGTGACTTGAAAGATCTCTCACGTTTAAATTCAGTCTCCGAAAGGGTTGTTGTGTTAGAGTCAGATCTCTTGTGTCCCATAATGGGGAGAGACCGAGATCCATCACTAAAGACAGTGTCATCTTCTAAACACGAACAAACAAAATATATATTCAGAATACGAACACATAAAGTTCGTCGGTTAAGGAATACTAAAATGACTTTCATTGATTAATTAGTTGCAGAATATCTCAAGTCACAATTTCATGAATATTCAACATTCCCTTATTAACCCGTTAACTGCGTAGTTTTTAAAACGTTAACTACCCCCTATTGTGTAATTAATTTGACAAAAAACATCATTTTTGGACCTATTTCTTCCTGAATACAAATTTTAGTGGTCAGAAACCATATTAAAACTAACGGTCAATATAGTTGGCTCCCTTCAATTAGATTTCCTCGACCAGGCATAATATAACGTCCTACACATGCTGCGATCGTGTTCGAAGAATAGGTTGGGGAAAAAACCTCCAAGACATTATATTACGTCCTACACATGGTGAGTGGCAGTTGTCCAGGACGTGTGGGGATCACCTGGCTAAGTGGGTAAGACGCTAGCTCGCTAGCCTGGAGGTCGGGTGTTCGATCACTGCATTGGCCAAGAAAGTTCATCCAGATTTCCTGGCGTGGTTCTCCCTTGTCAGTGATGCAGGACGGAGGGGCTGACAAGGAAAGCTGTCTAGTCATTCGGATGGGACGAAAAACCGAGGTCCTGTGTACACATTGGCGTGCACATAAAAGATCCCTTGACAGTTGGAATTCGATATAAGAGTAGGCGATAGTGCCGCTGTCCGGGCAAAATTTCCCCTCATAGCACACTGTATGGCGTATGCCCGTCTTCATTAGCCCAGGTTAGGAGCAGAACAGTAGGACGTTAAACTCCATTTCATTTCATTTCATTTTGTCCAGGACGTTATATAACGCCCTACGCAGTTAACGGGTTAAAAATTTATTGACAAACGTATTTAAATAATCTGCTTACTTTGAAAACACTAAACAAAATATTTCCCTTCATGCAAGCCTGGAAGTAAGGCACCTGTCACAGACAATGAGAATGTCAGGCACAGATTCAGGCTTTGTCTGGCACAAACCTCTGATGCCTTTCATTTTGTCCGGCACTGATTTGTCTTTTTTACTGATATTATTAATAAATCTCCGGCACTAAGTTGAAAATTTCAGTTACTTTTCATTAGTGCCTGATATTTTGTCAGGTACATCTAAAACCGTTATTTCCAGGCCTGCCATCATGATCCAATAAAATTAAAACTTACCAGATATTAAACGTAGTAATGTGCCTGAATTTCGTTGATTGGTCAGCTCTCCCGATTTTGGTTCGTCTGCAATTTTGTCATTTTTCGTGTCATTTAACAAATATTCATCATCTTGCACTTGAATCCAGGTTGAATTACGATGACTTTCTGCGTAAATACCTGAATCAGACCCAAGAAACAATTTATAGTTTGTATGTATGTATAAATTTCAAAGGGACTGGCTTCAGGATTTGTCAAAATATCTCCTGAGATTATATAATGTTAATAAATAGTCTGAAAATATTGGAAACCTAATGATCACAAGCCAGAAACAGATCAAGTCCTCTAGTATTTAGCCTCTTCAGAACAGAAATAAGCATTATCCAAGATTCTTAACATCTAGCTACAACTTTATTCTTTAAAGAACATGTGTAGCAAGGCTTGAGCCCCATATACTACTATTGGCAGTTTAAATGAGGAAACTTGTGGTAGGATGCCAAGACAGCAGTGAATCATCCCTTATTATTTTCTAAGCTCATGTACCACAGATGACAGATTTCTTTGGGCCACAATTTTATTATTGTTGACCATAAAAAGTTGATGGTAGGATGCCAGGATAACACCCATTCACCTCTTATTCTTAGACAATATAATGTGATATAAAGTACCACAACTTTTTCTGAGCTGAGGGCAGGTGGTGATGCAGTAAAACAGTATCTTGAGCTACACAGATCAGAGATTTTGGTGCCATCCTTCCCCTTAACCAAATCTTTCTCTAGAGCCGAGATGCTGCTGACATTAAGAAGAGGATGCAGTCATCTCTTATTCTTACAAGATACCAAATAAAAAAACGTCCCTGAGCCGTGGTGCTGCTGACCATAAGGAGGTGATGGTAGAATGCCAGGACAGCATACATTCATCTCTTATTCAGGAAAGATACCATGTACGATAGATTTCTCTGAGAAGAGATGCTTTTTGACCATAAGAATTTGAGGGTAGGATGCCAGGACAACATCAAGTCCTCTCTTATTGTTGCACGATACCTAAGTACCACAGTTTTCTCTGAGCTGAGAACAGGTGGTATCAAGATCAAACAGTATCTAGAGCTATACAGATCAGAGATTCTGGTGCCATCCTCTCAACCAAATACCAATTCTTTCTCTGGGCCAAGATGCTGCTGACATTAAGAAGAGGCTGTATTCATCTCTTATTCTTACAAGATGCCAAATAAAAAAAGCCTTTTCTGAGCCGTGGTGCTGCTGACCATATGGAGTGGATGGTATAATGCCATCTCTTATTCTCGAAAGATACCAAAGCTTTCTCTGAGCAGAGATGTGTATTGATCATAAGATATCAAGTGTTAGAGCCTTCTCTTGAGCTGAGATGCTGTTGATAATAAGATGAAATGAAATGAAATGGGGTTTAACGTCCTACGCTTCTGCACCTAACCTGGGCTAATTGAAGACGGTGATAATAAGATGATGATGTCAGGATGCCAGGACAGCATTGAATCATCCCTTCTACTTTTCTGAGCTCATGTACCAAAGATTTCTCTGGGTCAAAATGTTATTGTTGTTGACCATAAGAAGTTAATGGTAGGATGCCATGACAACATCCATTCCTCTCATTCTTACATGATACCTAAGTACCACAGCAGTCTCTGAGCTGAGAGCAGGTGGCAAAGAGGTAAAACATTATAGTTAAACAGAGCAGAGATTCAAAATCTGCTGCTATCCTTCCCCTCAACCAAATACACAACATTCTTGCAAGATACCAAATACCACAGCTTAAATTATTGTTTGTCCATTATTATATGATATCGCTCTCCCAGAACTAGAGTATTATCTAAGAGACGATGTACCACAATCTGGAGCTGAGAGGCTGTGTTGTTTAAAATTACAGGATTAGAAATATGACCGTAAGATATCAGGACAACATCCATTCATCTCTTTTTCTAACAAGATACCAAGTGCACAACCTTCTCGGAGCTGAGATGTTTTTGACCATAAGAAGTTGATGGTAGGATGTCTGGACAAAATCCATCAATTTCTGATTATATGCACTGGTTTATTTATTGTTTTTTGCACCAAGAACCATATGACCAGCAACCATATACATAACGTCACAAAAAAACCTCCTAGACCAAAACGTGACTCCCATAAATAAATCTAATTTCTGATTTTATCGAAATTGTGCGGTGACCCGACAAGAAATCAAACATAATGATCCCAAGTCTTCTGACCGCTTCAGTGCCTTTTAAAGAGCAGGTGGTGAAGGAGGCAAAACAGTATCCAGAGTTAAACAGAGCAGAGATATAAATTCTGGTGCCATCCTTCCCCTCAACCAAACACAAAAACATTAATGAGCTTAGCAGTAGCTGCACGAAATATACTATCTGGCCACATAGAGTAAACTCATTATTGTTAAAGCATCAAGAACAAGGAGACCGGCAACCATCTCTTATAACTCCAGAAAACTATCTTGACCAAATCTCCACTGCTATGAATAAATCTAATAACCAATTTTGGGGAATCGTGGAACGGATTGCAGTGACTGGACCAGAGATCAGATATAATGATCCAAAGCCTTCTGACTGCTTCAGTGCTTTGTAAAGAACAGATGGTGCTGAGCCAAACAGTTTCTAGAGTTAAACAGAGCACAAAAACATTAATGAGTTTAGCAGTAGCTGCACAAAATATACTATCTGGCCACACAGTGTCAACTCACTACTGTTAAAGCATTAAGAACGAGGAGACCGGCAACCATCTCTATAACTCCAGAAAACTATCTTGACCACTTTGCCCTGCTTTTAACAAATCTAATAACCAATTTTTAGGAACTGTGGAACAGAGTGCAGTGACTGGATGAGAGATCAGATATAATGATCCCAAGCCTTCGGACTGCTTCAGTGCCTTGTAAAGAACAGGTGGTGAAGAGACAAAACAGTATCCAGAGTCAAACAGAGCAGAGATATAAATTCTGATACCATGAAGAACAAGGAGACCGGCAACCATCTCTATAACCCCAGAAAACTATCTTGACTAAATCTCCACTGCTGTGAATAACCAATTTTTTGGAATCGTGGAACAGAGTGCAGTGACTGGACGAGAAATCAGACGTAATGATCCCAAGCCTTCTGACTGCTTCAGTGCCTTTTAAAGAACAGTTGGTGAAGAGGCAAAAAAGTATACATAGTTAAACAGTGCAGAAATATAAATTCTGGTACCATTCTTCCCCTCATCCAAACACAAAAAACATTAATGAGTTTAGCAGTAGCTGCACGAAATATACTATCTGGCCACACAGTGTAAACTCATTACTGTTAATGCATCGAGAACAAGGAGACCGGCAACCATCTCTATAACCCCAGAAAACTATCTTGACTAAATCTCCACTGCTGTGAATAACCAATTTTTTGGAATCGTGGAACAGAGTGCAGTGACTGGACGAGAAATCAGACGTAATGATCCCAAGCCTTTTGACTGCTTCAGTGCCTTTTAAAGAACAGTTGGTGAAGAGGCAAAAAAGTATACAGAGTTAAACAGTGCAGAGATATAAATTCTGGTACCATCCTTCCCCTCATCCAAACACAAAAAACATTAATGAGTTTAGCAGTAGCTGCACGAAATATACTATCTGGCCACACAGTGTAAACTCATTACTGTTAATGCATCGAGAACAAGGAGACCGGCAACCATCTCTATAACCCCAGAAAACTATCTTAACTAAATCTCCACTGCTGTGAATAACCAATTTTTTGGAATCGTGGAACATGGTGCAGTGACTGGACGAGAAATCAGACGTAATGATCCCAAGCCTTCTGACTGCTTCAGTGCCTTTTAAAGAACAGTTGGTGAAGAGGCAAAAAAGTATACAGAGTTAAACAGTGCAGAGATATAAATTCTGGTACCATCCTTCCCCTCATCCAAACACAAAAAACATTAATGAGTTTAGCAGTAGCTGCACGAAATATACTATCTGGCCACACAGTGTAAACTCATTACTGTTAATGCATCGAGAACAAGGAGACCGGCAACCATCTCTATAACTCCAGAAACTATCTTGACCAAATCTCCACTGCAGTGAATAACCAAATTTTTGGAATCGTGGAACAGAGTGCAGTGACTGGACGAGAGATCGGATAAAATGATCCCAAGCCTTCAGACTGCTTCAGTGCCTTGTAAGGAACAGGTGGTGAAGAGGCAAAACAGTTTCTAGAGTTAAACAGAGCAGAGCTATAAATTCTGGTACCATCCTTTCCCTCAACCAAACACAAAAACATTAACGAGTTTAGCAGTAGCTTCACGAAATATACTATTTGGCCACACAGTGTAAACTCACTACTGTTAAAGCATCACGAGGCAAAAAAGTATACAGAGTTAAACAGAGCAGAGATATAAATTCTGGTACCATCCTTCCCCTCAACCAAACACACAAACATTAATGAGCTTAGCAGTAGCTGCACGAAATATACTAACTGGCGACACAGCGTAAACTCATTACTGTTAAAGCATCAAGAACGAGGAGACCGGCAACCATCTCTATAACCCGAGAAAACTATCTTGACCAAATCTCCACTGCTGCGAATATATCCAATAACCAATTTTTAGGAATTGTGGAACAGATTGCAGTGACTGGACGAGAAATCAGACATAATTATCCCAAGCCTTCTGACTGCTTCAGTGCCTTGTAAAAAACAGGTGGTAAAGGAGGCAAAACAGTATCCAGAGTTAAACAGAGCAGAGATATAAATTCTGGTGCCATCCTTCCCCTCAACCAAATACAATAACAATAATGAGTTTAGCAGTAGCTGCACGAAATATACTATCTGGCCACACATTGTCAACTCATTACTGTTAAAGCATCAAGAACGAGAAGACCGGCAACCATCTCTATAACTCCAGAAAACTATCTTGACCAAATCTCCACTGCTGTGAATAAATCTAATAACCAATTTTTAGGAATTGTGGAACAGAGTGCAGTGACTGGAAGAGAAATCAGATATACAATGTACATGTAATGATCCCAAGCCTTCTGACTGCGTCAGTGGCTTGTAAAGAACAGGTGGTGAAGAGGCAAAACAGTATCTAGAGTTAAACAGAGCAGAGATATAAATTCTGGTACCATCCTTCCCCTCATCCAAGCACAAAAAACATTAATGAGTTTAGCAGTAGCTGCAC